ATATAAAAGGAAAGAAGGTAAATATGGAAACACAAATATTCTCAACACTCCCCCTCAAGCTGGTGCATGTATATCATATGCATCAAGCTTGTTACAAATGTATGTTATCCTTGGACCTCGAAGTGCCTTGGTAAGTATGTCAGCTAATTGATCATTAGAGTTCATAAACGACGTAACAATCTCACCAGAAAGAACCTTTTGACAAATGAAATGGCAGTCAATCTCTATATGTTTGGTCCGTTCATGAAAGACAGGGTTAGAGGCAATATGTAAGGCTGCTTGGTTATCACAAATAAGTCTCATAGGTCCTACCTCACAAAACTTTAACTCAGCAATAAGCTGTTTTAGCCATACAAGTTCACATGAGGTATTGGCCATTGCTCGATATTCAGCTTCAGCACTTGATCTAGCAACAACATTCTGCTTTTTACTCTTCCAAGCAATTAGGTTGCCTCCAATCAATACACAATATCCTGAAGTTGATCGTTTATCACTTGGGCAGCCAGCCCAATCCGCATCTGTGTATGCAACAATATTAGTATGGTCTCTGTTTTCATAGACTAATCCTTTTTCAGGGGAACCTTTGATGTATCTCAGGATTCGAATCACTGCATCCCAATGATTATCACGATGGGAGTTAAGAAATTGGCTTATAACACGGACCGGAAAGGATATGTCTGGCCTAGTCATAGTAAGATAATTCAATTTTCCGACTAGTCTTCGGTATTGATTTGGATCTGAATACAACTCCCCCTGATTCGGCACAAGTTTGACATTTGGATCCATATGGGTATCAACTGGTTTACAATCCAACATTCCTGTTTCCTTCAAAATATCAAGAGCATATTTTCTGAGATATGGCGACACCAGTTTTTGATTGAGCTACTTCAATCCCAAGGAAATATCACAATCGACTCAAGTCTTTAGTTTGAAAATGTTGAAACAAATGCTGCTTGAGTCGGATGATACCATCATGATCATTGCCTGTGATAACAATATCATCTTCATAGACAACAAGATAAATGCACTGGTTAGTAGAAGAATGTTTATAAAACACAGAATGGTCTGCCTCACTACGAGTCATCCCAAACTGTTAGAGAACTGTGCTAAATCTCCCAAACCATGCTCGAGGACTTTGTTTAAGGCCATATAGAGCCTTACGTAACTTGCAAACAAATCCTTGGGACTCTCCCTGAGCAACAAAACCGGGAGGTTGCTCCATATAAATCTCTTCTGCTAGATCACTATGGAGAAATGCATTTTTGATATCGAGTTGGTAGAGGGGCCAGCAACGTGTGACAGCCATGGATAAAAAGAGGCGAATTGAAGTCATTTTTGCAATAGGTGAGAAGGTGTCACCATAATCAAGGCCGAAAGTCTGTGTATAGCCTTTAGCGACTAATCGGGCTTTAAGCCGATCAATTTGTCCATCTGGACTCACCTTAATGGCAAACACCCAACGACAACCAACAGTAGATTTTCCAAAAAGGAGATGGAACAAGTGTCCAAGTCTGGTTGGATTCTAAAGCCTGCATCTCATCAATCATAGCCTGTCGCCACCCTGGATGGGAAAGTGCTTCCTGGACTGTTTTAGGAATAATAACAGAGGAAATAGCAGACACGAAAACACAATGGGAAGAGGATAAACGATGATAACTCAAGAAATAATAAATAGGATGAGGATTTCGAGTTGAACGTGTACCTTTGCGAAGGGCTACTGGCGAATCAGTAGGTGTGTCAGATGGATCCGGAGTAGGTAGAGCAACTGGCATAGGAGATGGGCTGCCTGAATCTTCCAAAACTACATCTTCTAGCGAAACAGGACGAGGCTTATGCTGGTATGTAGCCAAGGGACGAGGAATAGTAGGTGAAGAGGGATTAGGAGGTTCTGGCACATCAGAGATTGAGGGATTAGTGACAAGGGGAATATAGTAAGGAATGGGAAGAACCTGAGAAACTGAGTTTGGAGAGACTGATGTGGTGAAATATGGTGTGTCTTCAAAGAAGGTGACATCGGCTGACATATAGAAGTGATGACTGGATGGAGAATAACACTTGTATCCTTTCTGCACCCGAGAGTAACCCAAAAAGAGACACTTAACAGCACGAGCAGATAATTTGTCAAGTCTTGGAGTGAGATCATGGACAAAACAAGTGGAACCAAAAACACGTGGGGAACCTTAAACAGAGAGTCATTAGGGAATAAAAGTGAATGAGGTACTCTGTTATTTAAAGCAGAGGATGGCATCCTATTTATTAAAAAAGTTGTTGTAAGGACAGCATCACTCCAAAATTTTAAAGGTACATTAGCATGTAACAAAAGAGTTCGAGCAGTTTCAATAATATGACGATGTTTTCTTTCTGCAATGTCATTTTGTTGTGGGGTGTGTGGACAAGTGGATTGATGCAACATGCCATGAGAAGTCATAAAATGATTAAAAGGTGCAGAAAAATATTCTTTGGCATTGTCACTGCGCAAGATTCGAATAGAACGACCAAACTGTGTTTGAATTTCATTGCAAAAATTCTGAAAAATTGTAAATAATTCTGAACGTTCTTTCATTAAGAAAATCCAAGTACATCTTGAGTAGTCATTAATAAAAATAACAAAGTACCTATGTCCTAAGATAGAATTAACATGACTCGGACCCCACACATCTGAATGGACAAGATCAAATGGAGATTTTGCTTGACCATGGACAGCACTTGGAAAGGAGGCTCGAATGTGTTTACCTAGTTGGCATGACTCACACTCCAAAGACTGTAAATGAGAGAGGTGAGGAACCGTGTGCTTCAATTTATTTAGACTTGGATGACCTAGGCGACGATGCAAGAGAAGGGGGGGATCTGCAACAGTGCAGACAACTGAGGTAGTGGGCTGGAAATAATAAAGACCATGCGATTCAAATCCTACTCCAATCGTCTGTCCCGTACTCCGGTCCTGTATAGAGAAAGATTCAGCAGTAAATGTTATGGAACAATTATGAGTGCGAGTAAGTTGACTTATTGAGACTAAATTAAAGGGGCAACCAGGTACAAGAAGAACAGAATTCAAGGATAAATTACGAAGAGGGTAGTTCGTCCAATGCCAATGGCATTAGCTTTTGAGCCATCAGCAAGGGTGATGTGGTGTGCTGTTTTAGGTTGTGACAGTTTTGAGAAAAGAGAAGGATTACCAGCTATGTGGTCAGAAGCACCAGAATCTAATATCCAGGGTCCAATAGACAATGAATGAGAGAGGCAAATTGTAGATTACCAGATTGAGTAGTGGCAGAGGAAGATTGTTGTGATGCTATCTTCACCTGGAGGTACTCCTTGTACTCCATATCTGACAGAATATTCTGGTTGTCTCCTTCAAGGTCAATTTACTTTTCCACAGCGGAAGGCTGAGAATACGTCACATTGGCTGATTTCTCGGGAAACCCAATCAAAGAATAACACTTATCTTGAGTGTGGCCCATACGTTTACAATACGAGCACTGTGGACGATTTCCAAAACTGCGACCTCCTCTTCCACCACCTCGACCACGACTTCGACCTCCAAGGCTGATCACATTAGAGAAGAATGTAGAAGAAGACTCCAAACCTGGTTGAGAACCATTTCCTATCATAGTTTTTGGAGAGGGAACACGCAGCAGACGATCAATGAGATTCTCTGCTGTAGGTACACTGGAATTTGTTAAAATTTGGTTCCGAGCAAATTCAAAATCTTTGTGAAGGCCATGAAGGATGAAGACCATGCACATGTTATCAATCTTGTCTAAGACTTTTTGAAGGTCATCACCTGTCAAGACCAATTTTACTTCATCAATGGTGGACTATGCTCTGTTCAAATATGATGGGAGATCGTGATCTGTCATTTTAAGTGCAGCTAAATTATGTACAACATCATAGAGACGCTGAACATCATTTGAATAGACACTACGAGCTTTCTTCCATATATCGTAACATGTCTTATAAGTGCGAAAGTGGACTAACAACTTTGGATCAATGGACTGCCATAGAAGTGAAACTAACTAATAATCAGCCTTCTTCCACTGATCTCGTTCAGTGGAATTAATGTCACTTGCCGTCTTAGTCAAATGGTCAGAGAGACCTTGACCCAAAAACCATATTTCCACCGCAGCTTGCCAATCCATATAATTTTTCCCATTAAGTTTCTCTGAAGTTATGGATGGATTTCCATAGAAGACAAAGGATACTGAATTTTTGTTTAAGGGTTAAGTGCTGTCAGGGGTAGAGGACTTAGTTGGGTCAGAATACATGACTAAGCTTGGTGAGAGTTGGAAGAGACTAAACACAGCTCACCAACAAGGAAAAGGACACCCAGAATAGACAGAGGGTGTGCCGACGAGCTGAACGGGACCAGCGGCGAGACGAATGGAGTCGCGTAGGGCGGCGCGTGGCCTTCACGCGCCGACGGTCTGGTTTTCTGGTAAGCGTGCGAGGCGGCGTATGGAACACCGGGAGACAACGGCGATCAGTGGGACAGTCGATCGGAAGCGTCTCGAGCTAGTGCCGAAGTCTCAGGCCAAACGGTAGCCGGACATCGGGACAACTAGGGTCGGTGGTACTGTGCAGTACTGTAGATGATTTTATCAGGCCCACAGAAAGTGAGCTCTGATACCAACTTGAGATAGAAAAATAATTAGGGTAAAAACTGTGTTTCCTTTCTTGTGATTCAAAGGTTCTTATAAGAGAAATCTGTACAAAACTAGATCCCTTGATTATAGGGATTGACTAGGTAATTACAGCAGAATCCTAATTACATTATTTACATAATTAATTAGATTTCTATATAAAAGGAAAGAAAGTAAATATGGAAATACAAATATTCTCAACAGTATAAAAAGAATGTTTTTTGAAATATTAGTTTGGTATGAATTGCTTGCATTTTATGTTTGTTAAACTTACAACACCTTTTTTCTTCTTAAATAAACTTCTGATTCATCAAGGTATCTTGCTCGGTTGCTAATTTAAATTCTTTTTAAGTGATACAGATTGATGTGCTCGAGGTTGATGGAATCTATTATGGTATGGGCTTTTCTAGATTCTGTTTGAAATCTTATAATTTTGTTGTCATATAGATCATGCTCATCGTTAATAACAATAAAAGCAGAAACTTGTTCCCAAGAACTGTCCATGTCACCATGGAAACGCAATATTTATTCTCTTTGGTCTGTAGGTTTCTCTGGCTGTCACCGCTATGAGGCTCACCAGCGCCTTGGCCTCCCCACCATCCGTTGCAAAATTCGCCGTGGTACAAAAGAGACGCTAAGGTTAGTTAACATGTTTTGGTAACTCTGATAAAAGCATAGGTGACTTGGACTCATTATCTCAGCTGATTGATTTTCGTTTCTTATCATGTAGGCATCATCTACGCTAAACAGTGGATCATTTTATCATTCAAAGTTGGTACCTGCCGATTAGAATGTCTTACTTCTCAAGAAATTGTGATTCCAATGGATCAACTTATGAATGATCGTAGGTGTACTGTGCTCAGTTGTATGTATATGTATATTATATATATAAAGATGCAAATGTTTCCTCTCAATTACCAAGAGGACAGTGCACTATTATCAAATAAAAGATTGAAAATTCATAATCTGATTACTAATTCTTGGTGCTAGTTATATTGTTTCTGTTATTACTTCCTGAAGTTCATTGTAAGAATCACTATTCTAGTCATAATGTGGTCCTTCATGTCCTTTCCATACACCCTAAAAAGGTAAGAAAAGAAGGAAGAAGGGACAACATCAACTATTACTATTACTATTCTCTTCTATGGATGGGTCGGTCTGAAAAAGGGTCAAGTTAATCATTATCATCTTCATTTTCGTACAAACCAGGGTAAAAGCACTTTTCGTCGGTGTCTTATAGCATATTTGGTTACATGTTTAATATCCTATATTTGCACATTTTCTTTTCAAAAGTAACTTTGAGTAGTACTAAATACACACACGTCCAAAGAATAAAAATAATAATAGTTCAAAACCAAAGATGCATTTAACGCAAAAGTGAAATATGTCTTAAAATATTTAGCTAATAACTTTCCATAATGTAAAGATCATGAGGCCATCAATTAGCATCTACTGCCCAAAAGGAATCCTTATTCATGTTTAGTAAGACAATTGACAATAAGAGTTCTATAATATTAATCAATTGCTTAGGAAAATACAATAAGAGTGTATGTGATGACTTAAAATTTCATCCAAATAAATGTGTTTTAGTATTTGTGCATTGTAGATGAAAGTATTTTATTATTATTATCATCATCATCATAAAGGGAAGTGGTAGGGAATAGAGTTTGGGAAGTGAGAAAATTATGGTAGCAAGGATTGAACCTCATTTCATGAGGTTCACCCATTTACATTCTTTCACTAGATATGATAATTTAAGAGAAGATTTTTTTTTTCTTTGGCCGCGTTTGGGATTTGGACCCTTAATAAATGACTAAACTCTCATTTTTGTCCTTGAAATAGTAAAAATATTTTAGTTTCTAAAATTTTAAAAATGTCATGTTATTTTATTACTTCCATCTTTGTCAGACATTTAAATCTTTAGACTTCGATACCGTTAATAGACCGTAACAGAATGTTGACATGTCACGTCAAGTGACATGTATAATTGATAATGTAGCAAAAATTGATGTTGTATATGGTATGATATATATTTTTATTTCATTTTAATTCTTGAGATTATCACCTGTCAAGCGACATTTTAGTTCCTGGTTTTTAAAACTTTTTATTTACTCATCCTTCTTCTTCTTCTTCTTCATTCTCCTAGAAACTACTCATGTCGGCTACCATTTACTTTCTTTGTTAGCAGTAGAAGCATTGCTTTAGACATTGTTTGGACAAGTTTCAACTTCATGTTTTTGTTGATTATTTATATACGGGTTTCAGGTATACATAAAAAATATGATCATTTATTTTCTTCAACGATTACTTCAAGGGATGGAAAGCGTTCTTGAATTTGGCTATTCTAAGTTGCATTTTCGTTTGTCTTAAATGGTGGTAGTTTGAAATTACAATTTTACTTTACAGGTTGTTGATTAATCCCCATACAAATGTTACTTCCATGAGTGTTCTAATTTAGATCATCACATTGATATACATTTTTCCATCTTCCTTAAGCTTTGATGTTGATAGTGTTGCTCATCATTTGGCTCTATGAGCTTGGAAACTGTCCTCGAACAATAGTTTGTGGGGTTTTGAAAGGAATGACGAGGCCCAAGTTTACAACAAACATAAACTTAAGTTGTCAAGTAAAGAACGGTAACTGACGATAGTAGTTTTTGGTGATAGAAAATGAAGAAGAAAAAGGATAGGTATATGAAATGTTTTAAAAATCAGGGACTAAGATGTCCAACAGGTGATAATCTCAAGGATTAAAATAAAATAAAAACATATACTATATCACATAAGATATCGTCTTTGTCACGTAATCAATCACATGTGTCACTTAATATAACATGTTACCATTCTGTTATTGTCTATTAACAGTATCTATGTCTAGGGACTTAAATATCCAACAGAAATGGAAATCAGAAACTAAAGTGACATTTTAAAAATTTTAGAGACTGAAATGCCTAATTTTTATTATTTTAGAAACCAAAATTAGAGTTTAATCGCTAATAAATATCATCTTTTGATATATATATATATATATATATATATATATATATTATATGTATGTATATGTATATGTATTTATCAAAATCGATGTATTAAATGTGAATTTTTATTTAAATATTATATTTTAAAAAAAAATTATCAAATTTTTTTTCAAACTTTCTTTGTTTAGGATGAATTTGGCCATGTGACAAAGGTTTTGCCAGTACTGCTTACGAAACTGATTATTTTTAAAAAAAATAATTTTCAACACCAAAAGCGTGAAACAATAGAGATCGTGTCACATGTCAGGCAAACAAAAGTTTCGCCATAAAATTGACAAAATTAAATCAAAATTTTACTATAAACAGAGGAAAACATGCAAGGAGATGACACGTATTACGAGCTACATGAATTTCACAATAGGAAGCGCAAAAGTCATAAAAATAAAAAATTCAAAAAGAACATCTGAGGAGCTTTTAGAATACATGACAACATCATGCTTGTCTTGTGACTTTCATGGAAAAACACATTTCACTATAGATGTGGCAAAACTTTCTTGTATGTTGACACGTGTCAAAGGAGATAGTAACTACTGCACCTTTTTCCCTTCCTTCCTTTTTCCTCCTTATGTGAATACTTACCTTCTCCATTTATTTTCTCTAAAAATTTGGGAAGTGCAAAGCTGATTTAGGGTTATTTTTACCAATTTTTGAGTTTTTATTTGAGGTATTAATAATTTTATATGTATTTTTAGATATTATTTTGTTTTTTGTTTATTTTAATTTGAGGTATTGATCTACTAATTTGTTAATATGTATTTATCATTCAATTAATATCTTCATCATCATATATCTCCAAAGGTGTGTACTATCTATCCAAAGTTGTGTACTATCTAGTATTTTTATCAATTAAAAAATATAAAATTAATCTAGAAATAACTTGATTATGGTTATAATTAAGTTTGAAATGAAATTTTCTTTTTAATCCTCAAAACTTAACTCTCGTTTTATCTAAATCACTTTCTTTTTTATTTTGAAACTCATTCCTTCATTTTCTTTATCACGACCCCCTTTTTGAAAAGGAACTATGATATGCTAAACCATTTATTTCAGCATAAAATGTTTGCATTTTGAAAGAGAATTAAAATTTCACAAAACATGAACGTTCAACATTTAGTAATAAAACAAAGTCTTATAATCAAATTTTGAACATGACTATACATAATTATCCATTAACAGTATTTACATCAAAGTTGCTCGACATGGAGCTTAAAATACAAATTTTATAAACAATAATTACATTATTGAAGATTGTAGTTAAATAGTCTAGACCTACTACTAAGACTTGGAGGAATAAAATAAATAAAACTACAATCTTCACAAAAGTATTTTGACTCCACACCTTCCTCGGCTAGACTTTCCAGCAGAAGAAGTGGATACCTCACTAGTCACACCTGCTCACGTACCACCGTACGATCATTGCAACACACACACACTAATACAAACAAATGCAAGCGTGAGCTTATGTAACCAACAGTCATCACTATAAAATATGAAAATATCATAAGCATTTATACAACTCATACAACTCTCTGCAATTTAACACAAAATAATTTAGCTAATTCTCAGCCCATCTGATGCAAATGCAATGTATCAGTTCCAACTGATTTTACAGCCTAAGTAATATAGAAGGAACTGTTCCCAGTCTAGGAGTTACCCATCCGGTTTCTAGATCCAAACATAGCACAACTTAACATTTCTATCGTTACCTGTCTAACCACCTAAAATGCAACTCAGCTCTAGAATGATGAAAATCAACATGATGCAACACAACTAAATATATTCTCAGTCTCAGCAATATAGTTATATATACACTTTCATTCAGCCTTAGCAGTACAACCACATATATATCTTTTTCATAATCAAACTAAGCAGCTCATAGCATTAATCAAATATTTCAGCATGTCATTTTCTACTACAACACTCCAAACATTCATCAAACAGCAGAAAATCTTACTCAACCATACATATTCTGAGTTCTAACTTAAGGTTTGCTCATACAATAACTTATTCTTAGTTAAAACAAAATTATTTATATAAACATCTCAACATCTACTAAATGCACAAGGTTAGCTCGGGTAAGCACTCATTACCTGAAATGAGTTTTCTTAGCTCGGAATCTTCGTGAGCCTCAGCAAGAAAAACAAGGTCTAAAGGTCTCAAATCTCCTTAATATCATTGAAAAAGAAGACTTTTGAGGAGAAAAATCAAGAAACAAGGAGTAGAATAGAAGAGCCAAGTCTCAGGAACTCATCTAAATTCGTACTTAATGAATGTTCCCATTTGGATCGGGAAGAAGTTCGGTTTTGGGAAGATTTTCTCTAAAGGTTGAAGGTGAGAGAACAGAGAGAAAAATTGTCTAGTGAGAAATAGACGTTTCTCCTCACTGAAGTTCCTTAAATACCCCTTCAGGTCCACGTGCTCTCACTTAAGCGAGCCAACTCTCGCATGAGGTGAGCTCATCCTCGCTTGGACAAGAAAATCAAACAGTGAAACTCTCTAAATTTTTATTATTCTCGATTGAGCAAGAGACATTTCACCTGAGCGAGGTCGTTTCTCACCTGAGCAAGAGGATAGTTGGAGCGATCCTATCTGATCTCGCTTGAGCGAGACGCTCTAGAATGACCAATTCAGCACGATTCAGTCTCGCTTGAGCGAGAATTACCTTGCTTGAGCGAGATACCATGTACACAGAACTCCCAACAGATACAATACAAGTCTTTGGCTATAATTTTTAAGCTATTACTTACTGCTAATGACATTCAACAAAATCAACATACAGCACTGCAAATACACAGCTCCTTATCCAACAATTATACAACTTTCATATATACATTTCAACATATGAATAATTCATATAATTCAAGCATATATAACACCATTTTAAAGAAATAATACATACATAAAATATACCGATCTGACATTAATATACAATAATAACAAATCTACTCGTCTTACATTTTTACAAATAAAAAATAATTAATTTAAATTATTTTTATTTTAAATTAGAACAAAATAATAATTATTTCATTTATACATATTTAATTTAAATTAAACTAACAATAATAATTAATTTAGTAATTATAAATTAAATAAGAACAGCACGTTATAAGAACTTAAACAGAATTAACCTTTCAAAAAGTTTTCTTCTAATTCTTTTAAATGAAAATTTTATCTCGTACATGTAAGAATTTTTTATTTTTTTTTGACAAAAGAATGTACCTACTTTAAGATGTCTAGGGTAAGAGAGGGGTTGTAAAACTTTTGCCACAATGTTGGCAATACTCTTCAAGTTTTGCTACTAAAAGCGCAAAACTCTACATCGTGCCATGTTTCATTACCGGGTATGTTTTGCCTTGTTGATCACAAAAATTTACAATTTTATAGTGAAATTTTAGTGGCTTGACACATGGTAAGATTTAAAATGTTTCATAATTTTGGTGGCAAAAATTATTTTAAAAAATTTAATCAGTTTTCACTTTTACGGTGATAATAATAAAATTTATGTCACATGAACACTTTCATCCTAGATAAGGAGTTAGTTTTGGAAAGATTCATATTTTTTGATAAATTGTTTTTGAAAATGCAATATTTAAATAAAAAAAAAAAGGCATTAAAGGTTGAGAAAGAATAAGAAAGTTTCTCACGGTACTGTGATATCAAAGATAGTGTTCTGCAATAAATATTTCAACGTCTAAGTTAATATTTATCATCACTGCAATAATATATCTCAATCTATTGCTTTTGTGTGGATAGTTGCCAATTGATTCAACCTTACACACACCACACCATATACACATTCACTAGTTATCTTCCCATTAATTCCTAATTTAAATAAATTAAGAAATAACTACGGATCATTGTGACAGTGTTCTGATACAGTAACAAAAGATAGATGACTTGTCAAATATAACATTATTTTACATAGTAAATGTGACCAAACAATATTTCCTGTTACTTTATTGAATAATACTAATGTTGTAAGAGTCTAGTCGCTTCTGCATCGTAGTTGACATCATTTATTTTTACATATTTTTAATTAAAGTTATAACTTTATTTTAATAAAAAATTTATTTAATATTATTATAAATTATTAAAATAATTAATTAATTAAAAATAACATTACAAAATAACTAAAAATAATTAAAATTTAATTAAAAATATCTAAAATAACTATATCTAAATTCTGTTCCATTTCCAAATGCTCAAAATCTTTTGTAGTATTAAACTTTTCATATCTAAAAATTACATTGAATTCTAATTAATTTGAGACTAGTTATATTAAGTTATCAGATGTCCCCGAAGGGACTAGTTAAATTAACTTATAAAGTGATAAAAATTTCTCAATAATTATTTCCAATATATACTTTTACTTAAAAAATTATCATTTTTTAATCAAAATTCATCTTCAATTATTTTAACTTTTTATATATATTTTTTATTTTGAAAGTTCTTTTACCTATACTTTTAAATTAATTATTTCAAATTTTTGAAATTTTATCATGTAAAAAATGTAAATTATTATTTATTTAAATTACTTCTACGTATTTTTTATAATATTAAATACGTTTATTTATACTTCTTTTTTAATATCCACACACTACGTAAAATATTTCGTATATAGGAAATATAGGAAGAGCAGGGGACGTTTGGGGTTTGAAAAAGGGGTTTTTTCTTCTTTGGCCTATTCGTCTTCACCTTTCATTCGGTAGTGTAGAAGTTAGGAAGAGGCAGAAAGAGAGAGGAAACAATGGAGGGGTTATCGTATGCGCGCATGCCCAGGGTAAAAATCCGAGAGCTGAAGGACGATTACGCGAAGTTCGAGCTTCGCGACACGGACGCGAGCATCGCCAACGCTCTGCGGCGCGTGATGATAGCGGAGGTGCCGACGATCGCAATCGACCTGGTTGAAATCGAAGTGAACTCGTCGGTGTTGAATGACGAGTTCATAGCGCACAGGTTGGGTCTCATTCCCCTCACCAGCGAGCGAGCCATGGCCATGCGCTTCTCACGTGACTGTGATGCCTGTGACGGTGACGGCCAATGCGAGTTCTGCTCCGTTGAGTTCCATCTTAGGGTTAAGTGTATGACCGACCAAACCCTCGACGTTACGAGCAAAGATCTTTACAGCTCGGACCACACTGTTGTTCCTGTTGATTTCTCTGACCCTACTGCCACTGATACTTCCGAAAATAGGTTTTCTTTAACTCGGTTTTTATATATTTGTTAGTTTTTAAACTCCCAAAAAAGAAAACATTATTTTCGCATCTTAATTAAACGATTTTGAACTGGATATTTGGTATTTCCAACTGGGCATTCTTCGTTTTTAACTGGGTATTTGTTTCATCAACAAGGCATTTTTGGCTATTTTGTCGTTTATTCTTATTGCTGTGACCGTAGAAAAATTGTAGTCGAACAAGATAAGTTTGAATGAGTTTGTTTTTTAAAATCGTATTTAAATGGAATTTCTTAGTTTTCAACTGGGTATTTGGTTTTTTTTTTTTTTTCCAACTGGGTATCCTTCGTGTTTTCAGTTAGGTATTCTTGCCTCTTTGTTGTTATTTTCTTAATGCTGTGACCGTATAGAATTTGTTTTTGAGCAAGTTTGAATGTGAAAAGCTTTTTTTAATCTCATTTAAATGGATTTTCTTAGTTATCAAGTGGGTATTCCTGAGTATTTTGTTGTTTTTCTTTTTGCTTTGAAGATTTTGGTTTAGTTAGGGTACGTGTAATTTGAGTTTGTGTTGAATTCAGGGGGATTATAATTGTGAAGTTGCGGCGAGGACAAGAGCTGAGGCTGAGAGCAATAGCTAGGAAGGGAATTGGCAAAGATCATGCCAAATGGTCACCCGCAGCAACTGTTACTTTTATGTATGAACCCGAAATTCATTTAAATGAGGACTTGATGGAGACTTTGACTCTTGAGGAGAAAAGAGAATGGGTTGAAAGTAGTCCCACCCGAGTGTTTGATATTGATCCAGTAACACAGCAGGTTGGATTTTTCTCAGTTGTCTCTAATAATGTTGGAATTTTGGATATGCCCTTTTCACTGGTTTTGTCAGAAATGCTAGTATTTTGTAGTTTGTCCTCTGTGTTTGGTGCTTAAATGGTAGTTCAATCCTGATATAACATTTTGGAATTGATCTTAACATATGCATGTCATTTCTGACCAAATTTGTGATTTTGCACTAATCCCTATTCCTGAACATAGTATACTGTCTCTTTAAACTTTTGGATTGAACTGGAGAAGAAAGTGCAATTGGAGATACTTCTGCTTGTTTTCTTTCTTTGTTCAATGATGGACATTGGACACCAACAATTTGATGTTTTTAATGCATAGTGCTTCTTGGGAACAAATTAAATGTTGCTCGTTAATGATCCTGAATATTTATTTTTCAATTGTTTATGGATGCAACCTCTATTACAGGTTTACAGATTCAAATAGAGGTGGCATTTGTAGTAAGAGACAGGTATTCTTCATATTTTGGTCAAGCTAGCTGCCACCTGGAAAATAAAATATTGCCTTCCAGAGTATAAGCATTAGAGAGTGCCAATGTTTTGTAAAATTTCTGGTTTATCTTGGAGTAAAGATGTTATTCAAATGTACATGACCTTTAATGCACATATATCCCTTAAAATTATTGCCTTTTGGCATTATTCTTTTGGAGTCAGAGACAAGTTGTTTTAGGTCACTTCCAATCTCAAGGGTAATGTAAAAGGTAAAATTCTTCTATGAATGCCGAAAAACAAGGGGAAAGTAAACAAATTCACGCAGTATCACTCTGGAAGGTGTTTACAACTTATACTTGATCCCAGAAAAGGCTTTGCATGTAAGATAACAACTGAAGTGCAAAAAAAAAAAGACGAAAATTCTTGATTGAAAGGATTTACTGTATCAAGACAAATCAGGTCCTAAGCTAGTGTATTGACAATGAATCTTGAGCTGCAAAGAAATTTATAATTAATAAGACCTTAGTATAAAGATTTTCAATCTTGTGTTCTAGTATGTTGAGAAGCATTATCTATGTAAGATATTGATAATCTTTTTCTGTTGAAGCTAGGATTATCAAGAGGTCTTGAAATTGATGTCTGATCTAAGTCAGCGACTTAGTTCTGAACATTTTTTTGTCTTGTCTGAAATCTTGATATATGTCATAATGAATTCTTCCTTTGTGTATTATGTATTGTTGAATGAAAACATTAAATTTTCATTCCTTCAAATGCGTTGTGTTGAGGTAATTTTTTGTTATATGTTTTTGGCATTTTTTTTTAGGTCACGGTGGTTGACCCTGAGGCATACACTTATGATGATGAGGTGCTTAAGAAGGCAGAAGCTATGGGCAAGCCTGGACTTGTAGAAATTATTGCAAGGCAGGATAGCTTTATCTTTACTGTTGAATCGACTGGAGCAATCAAAGCTTCTCAATTAGTACTAAATGCCATAGATATTCTCAAGCAGAAACTGGATGCTGTGCGGCTATCTGATGATACAGTGGAGGCTGATGATCAATTTGGTGAGCTAGGTGCTCATATGCGTGGAGGATGATAGAAGGATTTTATATTTGTTTCCCTGAAGTTGTTTCTTGCATGTTGTATTTAACTGAATAGTTGCAGCATGTGTTCACTTGTTGAGACAAGGATAGTAACTAATATGATTTCTTCAGGATAGATAACTATCTTTCAATTTTATGTTACTTAGCTTGCAAGAATCAGTGACTAGCATACGGTATATGCCTTAATCGAACACACACACAGGAGTTATATCCTCTTATCACCAGCCAACTGGGGGAGAGGACTAGGATTAATTAAGGACTCACATGGTGGATTTGATAGGATAACAAAGAATAAAATATGAAAGTTGGATTAAAACAAAATAAGATAATAGTTGGACAGACTCTTATCCTGTGCTACAGTTGATGCACCCCCATGATGGCAAACTAGGTAGAATTATCTTCTATGTCTGTTGATATGAATTTTATATTAATTATTATAAAATCAATTATTTTTGTTGATATCACCATGATTGGATGTCTACAAAAAAAATTACACTGTTAATGTATTTAAATGAAATTCTTTATTTTGATTTAATGATCGAAACATATTTGCTTGTCTTGGGCAGTTTCAATCCGCATCAAAATTCTGGACCTTGATGGTTGTGAAGAATCTCAACCGTCATATTGAAAGATAAATTTACAAATAAACTTAATAATTGTAGGAACTAAACCTAAAAGTGGTTACAAATAAAGATATTTTAGTTTGTAGAGGAATAATTAAATTATCGCTGCAATTTTAGGTAAATTAGTATTATTAAAAATATTTCTAATTATAATGTATTTACACTTATTATCATATATATATATGGATAATTTTTTTTTTTACATTAGTGTAAGTTTAAAAATTTATACTTGATTTAAGCTTTATTTGATTTATGAAAGATTCATATTAAGTATAAAAGTTTTAAATTTTTAAATTTACACTAATTTGAGAAGATTTTATTATATATATTAACAATTACAACACCAATTGCACCGGAAGATTTTGGCATGTATCTAAGGAGTTAGAAGGATCAGCAACTAATGAATCAGGTGCGTTTAAATTTTCTTGAAAAAGAATTCAACAGCGGTTTGTCAAGAGCTAGCTAATTATTATCTTTCTGCTTGCTCAACAATTTATGTTGATGTAAAACTAAACACATTGCAAATAGTAACTTGTGTTCTGTCCGATAATTCATTTCCGTACTGAAGGATCATGTACTCTTAACTTCATTTGCTTAACAAAATAACACATTTTGCATTATCAAATATTTACAAAACTTTGGAAAATTAATGGTTGAAGAGGATGTTTAAAGGTCGTACTTTTGCTTCTTTTTATCCAAGAAACAATGATGTAAAAAAGATAATTACTTTTTATGTGCAAATATCATTACTGATTGCTTAATAAGATCCAGAATGTCACTCTGCCGACAGACTTCAAGATTTGGCGGTATGAGCATTAAATAAAACGAAAACCTCACTAAAACAGCAGGGAGTTTATATGGCATTGATTTTAAACTATCCTGGCGACTACAAAAGGACGCTTTAGTATGATTTACACTTTGCTAAAATTGCTGCGAACCTGCTGGATGATTTATGCTTATGGACAACTGATCACTAGCAGAAGGTGAATAATTTACCAGCTCTTGTTGGATATATCAAACTTACTACTTGTACGCTATTGGACCAGATCTAGACACTGCAAACCTAGGAAGAGGACTGGGCCCAGTACTCCCTGAAGTTGAGCCTTCAACAGTTTTTACCCTATTACGGCTAGCACTGTAATCCAAAGGCCCAGAGCGACGAACATTCCTTTGCTTATTGTCCCCACTCCTTATGCTGCCAATATCAGCATCATAGAGGTGCTCCTGGCTATGTGACGATGATCCTTTGAAGTACCCTGAATCTTGGCCAAAATACTGTGGTGAGTCCCCACGAGGATGCCTTAAGACAGGAGATGCATGTGCTAGCAATACAACAGGTGAATGACGGGGTGATGCGTTCAGAATTGCCAATGGAGTGGATGGAGTATCTGCATAGTATTGGCTGTACACTGAACGGAGAATGGCATATGGAACATGGGTTTCCAGTGAGCTTCTTGGAAGGTACGGTGAAATCTCACATAGTTGGTCTAAAAAGATAAGCTGTGCTACAAGATGAGATCTGTGCATAAATCAAAATACAAAATATCTAAGAAAACTACAAAATGAAGGATTGATGTTTCAGATAAAACAGCACTGACGCTGAACCACAGATAAAATTCCGCCGTAATATATTGCAACATTACCTACCTTATTAATGTGTAGTTTCACACACCCAGGTACACACGTATATATAATGTATAGCCATTTGTTTCAAGCAAAATTATATATATATCTTTACCTGTGGGTTTCACTCCAAGAATCCAGTATGATATCTGCAGAGAGTTTCACAAATAACTGCAGCGTAGACTTGATACTTGCTTCAGCTGACATATGACTTGTTAATTCAGGATCCATTGCCTCGCTAGCATGCCCATTGGTAAAAGATTGTCGATGCTGATGTTCACGTTCCAATCTAACAAACTCACTTCCGGCAATCACTGCAGAAATGCACCTGCCCAGTATTATGATGTTAGAGTGATACTAATGATACCAAAATTAATATATGCCTAGGGCAATGAGTAGTTCTGTTTCTCAAATATTGATTTACACAATGGAATCAAAATGCAAAATAATGAATAATTTTCAAATCCAAAACCTGCAAAATTAAGAAGAGGTTAATCTACTGGCATTTGACCAAAGATATATAAGCATGCAAATACAAACTCAAATCGTTTACAGATACTAAGCATAAGTAATTTCAACCACAAGTTTAACCATACTGACCTAGCCAAGCAATGTATATTGTTACTAAAACCCTCGGTGTCAACATTAAATGCCGTGGTGGACCAAATACTAGATGTCATGAATGTGGCAAATAAGTACGGTAGCAAGCTCCATGACCCATCACTTGCACCACCAACTTCCTCTAAAATTGATCTTACCCAAATTGAATCATGATCATTTACCACACCTACAATATTTGCCACTGATCTCATTCTCTTGATCTCTTCCTTTTCTGGAACTCCATCAGGAAGATGCTTAACCACCCCAGCTAGCAATGAATGTATCAAGGGAGCACCATCTTCAAGTATTGCACCAGAAGCCTCAGCTAGTATCCGATCAAAAGCCAGTGCTAGGCCAGCCTGAACACAAAAGCCAATCACAGTTTCCAGATCAAGTATTTGCTTCATAGAAGATTCTCTTTCAATTCTATCACCAGCATGCAGACTGGTAGCAACTGCTTCTAGCACATCTCTGTTTGATCGTAGTGAAGTATCAATGCAATTTAAAAGTGCAGCTGTGTGTTCTTTTAGCATTCTGTCTAGCCTGTCTACTCCATAGCCACCAAAAATACGTACAAAAGCCTGCAATTCCCTAAGATCAGTGACTGATTCTGCAAAATATCCACCAACAGGCCGTGTACTCCTGAAGCATTTATGAATTGGAACAAACAAAATCCCAGCACCTGAAACGTCCTTGATTATGTTTTCAATATACCAATTGCATACAGATTCAGTGGCCGATCCTGTATGTTGGTCTGTTGGCTTCTCAAACAAGTGCAGAGAAGAAACTGGTCCTGAAAAGGCTTCTGAAAGCAAAACTTCACGAATACCCTGAGTAATGTCCATGCTGATGTGCTGCTCTGCAAGATGCACAATGCTAATATGTCTCTTAATCAGTGATTCCAAAACAGTTGGCCGTTGAAGATCATTATCAGTTTTCAGAACACCCAGCAATCTTCTTCTAAAGTTGCCAAGAATACATTCTCTCATGTACTGCACAAATAGTTTGTGTTAAAATAATAACAGCAGAATCAACGTTTGGTTCAGAAACAGTACAATTTAACAGATTGGGAGTGGATGCATAAAGACTTGAGTTTTGTGCAATGATCCATTACTTGAAGTCTTGAACAGGTAACTAGTGTTGGATTTGGACTCTCTAAAGTCTAAATTGAGTAGTGCACTTCAAAAGTAAAGTGAAGCATTGATAATCATTGATGAGTGTTAAGATTTAGATATTTCCCTATTTTTCTCTTTCCTTATTACATAAATGCTCATATTATATTGGATTTGATGTCTGTGTGTAATTTAGGACACTGCTATTAATTAGGTTATTCAATCCCCAAAATTAAGGGATTTGGTTTTGTATTCATGTAACCAGTGTTGGATTTGGATCCTTTAAACATAGTATTGCACTTCAAGCTTTTTAAAATACAAATATTGGGACAGGAGATCATCGATATCTGCACATCTACTCCCTTCATTTCTTATCAATGAATATTATATGCACTTTGACCCTCTAAATTGTATCGTTCACTTTAGAGGATCCAACTCCAACCAATGCCCAATCATTTTCATTTTATTGAGATAAATCTAGGCAATTTTTTATTTTTTTGTTATTAGTATAACAATCTAGACACTGTTGTATATGTAAGATGTCATACACTTGCATATGTGCACATGAATAGATAAATAGAGAATAACTCATGTCACTTATTTTTAGTTAACAGACTTGGTCCTTTCTGTTGTATGCTGAGTCAATTCTGTTGTATGCTATTTCTGTTAGTTGCTAGTCTGAGCTGTACTTTCCGTTAGTTAGTTAAGTTAGTTGTACAGTTGTTAGTTTTCCATTAGATGTCAGAAATTGTTATACATTAACACTATATAAGAGTCTGATTTCTGTATTCTGTGGGTTATCAATAATATCAAGAATCATTTCGGTTCTTTCACATTTCTGTTTGTCTCTCTCTAAGATACTCTAACACAGGTCAAACAAAATCTAATATGCATTTCCATTAATGAAAGCTCCACCTTGGTCTGCTTTCTCTCCCATCCAATCATCAAAATACCGTAAACTAATTTCTTTATCATACCCTTTGTGAATCCTTCTTCCAGTATTTGCATGTTAAAACAAATGAGACATTTTTTATTGCTTTAGTTTAGTTATATTGGAGTTGTACCTTTCTGAAAAACTCCAAAAGGACCAGCACTTATTCGACTATAGATTTCTTACTTCGCAACTTTTATGCAATTGATAGTATTATCTAAAGTTCTAAACTGTTTTCAATAGATAAGCAAATCTCATGAAGAAGAAAGAGGAAGAAAAGAATATCCATCCCTAACCTCTCTCAGTACAAAGACATGGTTTAAAACACATATAGGTTCCATATCATTTAAAACTGAGCACAAATTGGTCAATCTCTGCATTGCAGCTTCTAACCTGTTATAGAAAATGCACACACATTAAAAAGTTATAATTATGTGGTAGCACATAAACATTTAGAATGGGATTATTATGACATACATTTTGATAGAACTATTATTTTCAGGAAAGCTCTCATGGCCAGGTAAAGGAAAACCAGCAGTTCCTTTTGGAGATTTATATGATGGAATAGAAACTCTTGATGCATGATTCAGATATGAAGCTGATTGCTCTGGAAGAAGCTGAAGAAATCTGAAGGTTAGTTTTCTGAAATGAAGGTAACTTGTTAACTGAAAGTATTTACCTGATTCTCTAGGGCACCAAATCCTCCTTCAGAGTCAAGAATATTTATCAATCCTTCCAATCCTCCCATGATGGATTCAATCAGAGATTCAACATAAAGAACAGCATCCCTGCCAATTTTTGTAACCTGCTTGCGGCAAAATATAGTGATCACTTATATTCTATATTTTGCACATCGTGCTATCATCATCATACATGAAACACGTCTAACAATTAATCAGGCAGTAGGAAGAGGAAATACTTTATTATTATTATTATTATTATGATTATTATTATTTTCAATGCAAAGGAATTGTGAAACCTCCTGTTTAAAGATACACAACTGCACATCCAAACTTCTCTATTTTAACATATGTATGAAGCCTCACAAATGTGAATCGCCCACTTTTAACAGATCCATAAAAACCATTAACTCTATTTTCATATTTGTAACTTGTTTCTTAATTTTCATTCAATAAAAATATTAACATAAACATAAGTTCCTTTTGGCCAGGTAAAGGAAAACCAAGGGTTCCTTTTGGCCAGGTAAAGGAAAACCAAGGGTTCCTTTTGGAGAAACTCCATGCCTCCATCACAATGTTCTGTTAACGGTTTCATAGTTTTGATCAATGCTTGACAGTTGACAATTTGAAGTATAAAACCTCTGGTGAGGGTTTGGTTTTACCTCTTCCGGAACAATTGGAGATGCACACTCTGGAAAACTACTTGCAATCCCAAGCCATGCACAGCAATGCTGAGGACGCCCTTCTGGACCAAACATGGTGTTTCTAAAAACCTATTATAGGAACATAGTTTGGGTTTTAAAATGGGAGAAAATGACAAGTAAAATTCATAATTCAAACTATAAGTTTAAAGTCATTGCACCAAATTAAGGAAATGGATTAGGTAAGGGTGGAATAGGGACACTCACAGCCGTGAGGTGCTGGTGGTAAAAGTACAGCTTTCTAAGACTACCATGCTTTGAAAGTAGGGATTCCAATTCATCTACACATCTGCATCAAAAGAGAATCATGATGCCATAATTATCTCTTTAGAGAGAGAGAGAGAGAGAGAGAGAAGTTGTCAAGAATATCTAGCTCAGCTGTTAGGCTCTAGTGAATGTATTTACACACACATAGTATGTGAGTAATGCATAATACAAGACATAATCCCAAAACATGATATGTAAAAGAATTTCATAAAGGAGGAGAGAATACAAGACAGAAGACCATGATATCCTCCTAGCACAACAAAAGGACAGGGATAAGTCCCTATGCTAAAGAAACCTTATGGACATGGTTCAACAAACAAGGAGGATACAAAATCAACTCAGTCATTATAAGGTAGAAAACAAGAAATCTCCAGCAAAATGATCTGGCATTATGCTCCTCAATTAAATATATTAATCATTACAAAATTAAGTCAAATTAAGTTTATCTGCATATATATTTACACACAATTGATAAGTTCAGCTGTCTGTCAATGGACCCCCAAACTAGGAAATAGATTGATAAAATGGAAGCATTGATTACAACAGGGAGACTGAAGCCCAGCGGCCAGCAGATTGCCAAGACAGGCATCAGGTATTCCCGGTAAGTATCCCATGTTATTTCCTCCAAAAAAAATAAAATCACAGTCCCCCTTAAGAGACTAAAAGATTCAACATTTGATTATTGAATTACTCAATAAAGTATCAGAATAGCATAGAAAAGCAAGCTAAAATCAGAGAATAAAACCTGGACCAATTGTAAGCGGCATTCCCTTCTGACAATAATCCCTCTTTGCCAGTGGATACTGTAGCTTTCTCCAAGTGCCTAATGTTTATAGATGAACGTGAAGATGTGACTATCAATAAAATTGATAGCCAATCCTTTCGAAAATCCTGAAAATAGGGTTAGTAAGTGTTGAGTGCAGTAAAGTATTAAATTGTTAATAACAGAAGCCAAAGAAGAAAAAACAACTAGAAACTAAGGTTCTGAAACTAAAGGGAAATAATTATTAACATGCAATCTTTGCATGCATTAGGAGTTTAGGACCCTAGCATGACTTCTCAACTTTTTCCTTCTTTATCATACCAATGATTTTATTTATGGGTAAAATGACATGCAAGTTATATTGAATGAGATAACTTCTACATGAAAGCAGCAAGTTGCAGCTTGTTATGATTATTAGCTCAATGCGAATATATTTATATCAAAGTTACATAAAGAACTGTAATATGTCCAAAAGGCATCCATTTGCAATGTTTAAGGTAATGGAAAATGACCAGCATGAATGTCCCACATACCGACAGATCGCAAGTTATAGCAGATATATTTTCACCCTGTGGTTTTGGTAAGTTTTCAAGGTGGTAAACAATCAGCTGAAGAAGTCCTTTCAAGCCAGCATCTATATCAAGAGCCACCATTCCAGGGGTACCCAGTAAAAACCGGATTCGTCCAGCACAGGATGAAAGATATGACAATGAATAACCTCGAATTGCTGCAATAAAATGAAACAGCAATTAACACACAAGCTTCTATCCAGAAAACAAATACAAGGGAAAAGAAATGCTAGTGTAGCAACTAATGCTTGCACATAAAGCACACAGTGTTGACTACAATTAGAATAAAAAATTAATGTCTATTAATTGGAAGCAGGACCCATTCATTAGTAGCAGTCAATCTCCCAGAATTATTTTCATTAATTTCAATTCTGTTTCATATTTTATGCCTCCAACACCAAAGATTTATCCCAATTTCTATCATCCAAAACTGAACTCTGCCTATGGTCCCATAGCCAACCCTAAGCCTAGGTAAAGAAGGCTGTTAAGCCTTTGACAACCAATGTCAAATTTGTCCAATGGATCACTCACGACAATATTGCACTAAGGTTTGGTCGTTACCCAAATGTAACGCAATGTATGGCTTGAGTACGATGTCAAATGAGCTAGACCCACTACATTAGCACTGAGATGTAATGTTAAATGAGCAAGGGCCTTCATATTTGGTTAGGCGAGTGTTGGTAAAGAAGTTACTTCAGGAATGCATGTTTAGGTTTGGTTCATGGAATAGTAATACTTTGATAGAAAAGTCCTTGCAAGTGGTGGACACTATGATTGAAAAACCTTAGAAGAGGTTATTTAAGAAGATCTATTGATAAATAAAATTTGTGAAAATTTGATTTTTAACCAAATTCAACAGCATTGTGTGATCCATGTAGCCGATCTCACCTAATAAGATAAAGCTTGGTTGTTATGTTTTGTTTTATCATCCAAAATTGATGACTCTTGACCAATAGCCAAAGGCACCACAAAAGTGAACAGCAGTGATTCTTAAAATGTTACAATGTGCAATGATATGTGTTGCCACTGCAGTTGGCATGAATATGAGAATTCTTGGTCTTTTAAAAAATAATAAATAACAATTTTACTAGAAAGGGTGGGCACCCCCACCTTAGAACAACTTTTGGCTGTTCTTCATAAAGTTTGGTAAAACTGATATCAAATTCCTTCACCATAGGATAAATTAGTATACATAATGTTTATCTAACCTGCAATGTATTTGCGCACCAAGCAACATAAATGGTCCATCCCGTCTAACAAAAATCCAATGGTTGGGTCATTTGGATCCTGAAAAACATGATATGCAATTTGAAGTCCAGTCCAGCACCTTATCAATAGTTCAAACAATACACTATAAGAAAAGTTTAAAACATGAATAAGTTTTTTCCACTCAATGACATCCCTTTAGCAAACAAGTTATCAAATTAGGGCAGTTTCAAACTATTTACCAACACATCCATTTTTTCCAGATGACATTTTTTGTCACCCAATGAAGCCCCCATATCAAATTTGATTTGCTCTCTAGTTGCCAGACCCTGTCTCCCCAAGACCTCAATTTCTGGCCATTTTGATATTCCCAACCATTTCGAAACCCTTGAGTGCTATCAATGCATTCAATGCTGCTTGCACCAGTCCACATGGCACAATCAATGAGGGCAAAAATAAAACAAAATATAAAAATGGTGATAAATAAGTAGTATATTCATGAATAGGTTTTGCTAATATGTCTCATATTGACTAAGAATAGAGTCAAGGTACTTCTTATAAGACTTGGGCAATTGTCCTTCCTTGTGCTAGCTTTTGGAACTGAGTTGGATCTTATTATAATAGTTTAAGAAAGCCTTTACTCTATAATTTGTTCAGAAACGAGCATTAGTTAGGTTGAAAAAGAAGTAAATGAAAAAATAAAGAAATAAATGCTTACTATGTCCACTGGTACCATTCGAGTGGTTTTAGATTTTGATGATGCAATTCCAACATGCTGGAAATACCAGATCACTTCACATTGGGCTAAAGCCAAGGCAGAAAACACCATCTGTGGGAAAGATTACATCCTCTCATGTATAAGTTATTTTAAGAAGTTGAAGATACATGAGTATGTATATATATATATATATGTGTGTGTGTGTGTGTGTGTGTGTGTGTGTGTGTGTGTGTGTGTGTGCATGTGTGTGTAGGTTTCAGCAGCAAATGCCAAATACAAAGATGATACCCAGAATGTTTCAATAAATATATGAAAATTACAAAATTATAGAATTGTTTTGTTAAGGAACAACTACCCACTTGGTTAAAGTAAGTTAATAAGTAATTTTTCTGAAGATATCTAGTCCATTGCTTAATGATATCAAACCACAGGAGATGTAATAACATGTAATATTTATAAGTAAAGAGATAACTATAATTTATTCAGCCACAACTGTCAAATACACCATTTTTTTTCACACTTCAAAAATCCAAAAGAAAGACACCTGAATATTAGGGGCCAATAGACTGGGTTGATCAGTAAAAAACAGCACCATTCTCCCAATCTCTTGTTTCAGTAAAATTCTCCTTTCACGATGTATCACATCACAAGATAATATTGCTTGCTCATGCACTTCACTGAAAATTTTAATCACTTTTGCGATTAGCACTGTCAATTGTAATAATACCCTCTACATGGTCTCAAAAAAATGCCTAAGATGAATGGTCAAAATATAAAAAATCAAGGATGAAGTGTCATTAAAAAAGACAACAGAAAAGAAACCACATCAAGAGTGATAAGTATCAATATAAAAAGATGGAAAAGTAGCAAGAATACTTTCACATAATAATACAAAAGGTTTTTAGTCAGATAAAAAAAGAATATTTATTCTTTAATCTTGCCTCATTGTATGGTGAATAATATCTCGAAGAATGTGGTTTTTGACTGAATCCAATGGCATTGTATGATCCATGTAACAATTTTGTTCACATTGACTGATAAGTTTTTTGAGCATTATACCAAACAATTTAGTATTCAGACACCAAATCACTGAAAATAATAACCAGAATAATCTTGGACAAGTCACAATATTTGACTGTCTTGGCCAGTTGACCACATTCATTCTATCCAACTGACAAGAATATATTTAAACAGGAACTCTAAATATACCTTATCATTTTCTCAACCTGCTTTGCAACATTATATTCTAAATCCGCCTCTTTTTGCTTTGTACGTCCAGATTTTGCCATCTTCTTAGATTCTAATATTCGAGGCAAAACATACAACTGGTAATCCTCATGCAAAAGTATGTACTGTGTAATGATGATAGAAAATTGTCAACTACTGTAGTTAAAAGATACAATCCCAAAGCCAAAAGAGGCAAAATTTACCTCATCTCTGAATAATGTGAGGACTAAGTTCTCCTTCAATACAACCTGAAATACCACAAGCAAACAGAATTAGGTATACTTAGCATAATTAGCATCTACATAATTTCAATATAAAATATAATTGAAAGTACTGCAACATTTGGATGACTGGTAGTAAAGAGAATCACTTTTATCTGAAATAAATACAATTTCACAATCTTGTGATTGGCTTACCCCAAGCACTTGAATTAACACCAAATAATATTACTTTCATATGATCTGATCAAGCGAAGCTAGGTTATTCTATAGCATTCTTATCAAACATCCTTCAGTCTCAGAAGTTATAAATTAACCAATTGCTCTTTCAAAAATTTAGATCAACATTTTCATGGTTCTTCAACTTGGAACTCATATTTTATCTCCTGGACATATCTCTTTATAATTTAATTTTTTAAGAGAATATGCTATCTAACATTGTATCAAAGCTTTCTTGTTTAAAATCTCGCCAATTCAAGTCTAAAGTTTCAATAATTATATCAACATGCTTGTGTTTTCACCCCAGTAAATGCAAAATATTCCAGTACTCTACATGTGGTAAAATGACTAAAATCAAATAGAAACGTTGTGTGTATATATGACTACATTTTCATGCTTCTTTCAGTTGGAACTCAGAAGTAATAAATTAACCGATTGCTCTTTCAAAAATTTTGGATCAATATTTTCATGGTTCTTTCACTTGGAACTCAGAACACGTCTCTGCCAAGAAAATATATCTTATCTTGTGGACATATCTCTTTATAATTTAAATTTTTAAGAGAATATGCTATCTAACATTGTATTAAAGCTTTCTTGTTTAGAAGCTCGACAATTCAAGTCTAAAGTTTTAATAATTATATCAACATGCTTGTGTTTTCACCCCCAGTAAATGCAAAATATTCCAGTAATCTACATGTGGTAAAACGACTAAAATCAAATAGAAACATTGTGTATATTTATGACTACAGTTTTACAAGCATGGACTATACCAAAGCAATGTCGATGCTAGTGACACGACGCAGTTCATCAGGGCAGACAAGATACCCAAATAACACCCATTCTCGATATGCAGTTACATTTGCCAGATCTTGTGCTCTCTGCAGGGTTGAATGAAAAAGAAATTCAGTTTCAGTATATTACACAGTTATTATTCAAGAAGTCAATTCAATATGGTTTAAAATAAAAAATGATGTTACCAGCGGATGAGCAGAATTTGTGAGTATGTCTGGATACCGAGGATGATATGGACTTAAAAATCCCTCATTTCTAAGTTTCCTTGTGTCCGTTGATAGAAATATAATAGGGCCCACAGCCTCTAATACCTGAAAAAAAGATATCAATGGGAATATATTGACAAGTTGCCAAATACAACAATTCAGCTGTGAAGGAAATTGTTAAAAAACTTGGTCTAACTCACTCCTAAAAACTAGTTCAAAGGTGGAGGACTACTCTAGCCCTTATAAGAAGTATAACTATTCCTAACCAATATAGGACATCTTAACACACATTCCTCAAGACTGGACATGTGGTGCGTGAAATTTGCAGAACTAAACATTTGCATGGGTGAAACCCAATAGGACTGGACATCTGTGGGAGCCCAACATTCAAACTGGATAGGCTTTGATACTATGATAAGAAACTTGGGTCTAACTTTCAAAAACTAGCTCGTAGAAAGAGGACTATCCTAGCTCTTATAAGGGAGTATAGTGGCTCTATTTTTAACCAATGTAGAACATCTTAACACACACACCCCTCACATCCAAGACTAGACATCTAGTGCGTGAAATTTGCAAGACTGAACATCTGCACAGGTGGAACCCAATAGGACTGGACATTTGTGGGCAGCCAAACATTCAAACTAAATAAGCTCTGATACCATGTTAAGAAACTTGAGTCTAACTCACTCCCAAAAGTTAGCTCAAAGGTAGAGGACTACCCTATCCCTTATAAGAAGTATACTAGCTCTATTTCTAACCAATGTGGGACATCTTAACAGAAATTAAATAAGAAACCCATACTTTACATAAATGGATATCATGAGTAATATTAAAGCAGAACTAAGCCGTTCAATCTCCTTTTGTTGCATTATAAGTCATTTTTCATTCATTTGAAAAAATTAGAAGCAACAGATTGTGTGGTGTATCAAGGATGAAAATCAAAAAGTATCTAAATTCAAAATTTATATCTTTTGGAAAGCATATTGAAGTTTTACATTTAACAACCAAACACCGTATGCAATCTTCTCTAGGTCTCAGTTTTAACTGAAGCCACAAAGATGGATGCCCTACCAATAATGTGACCTCTACCAAAATGCTTATTTAAATATTGATATCATATAATATTAAGTATCAAGGACCAATGCATTCCAAAAGCTTTGAGCCATTAAGTAGAGAACTAGCACATTTTTAATTCTTTCATGAAAGAACCCTTTGAACCTATAACATGGACAAATATTATTTTGTACTGAGATTTAATTCAATTTAATCATAAAGAATGGAGGGGGCAATGATCAAAACTCCCAACCACTAGGTCATAGAGGCTTTGGTACCATGTCAAAAGGACCAACTATCTCAAATGCTTATACCGTAAGGTGGAGGAACAGGAATGGTTTTATTCATATCTCTAACATTATGAGTAGAGTTTGTGGAAGACAATTTTTAAGCAATGGAGATTACAGCAAAGATGGCTGTACTCCAATTATACAAGACATGACAAAGAAAGCAGATGCTCAGTTTCTATCCGAAAGCATATGAAGTGATATAACTTAATTATTCTTCATTATAGCATTTTCATCAAGCATATGTACTGAAGTACCACAAACTTAGTCATCTCCATAAAAGGCAAACAGTTCACATACTTCAACAAATACAGCTCCCAAAAAGTGGAAAGGCTAATGAAAAATAATATGAATTTCATCTTGAAAAGACAGAATCATGAAGAAAAATAATATCTTAGAAGACTACAAAACATACTCATCCTCTTTTCTGTATGTACTTGGCAATTATTTATATCATATTGATACATGAAAGGAAGAGATTAACCTCTCCAATTCGAGGGCTCACGAAATTTAGGTCTTCCTGTAAGCCTTTCAATGGTGGATCATAAGAATCGATGAACTGAACCAAGCTGAAAAGTAAAGAAAGAAACATATATGGATTAAAATAAAGGCAACAGTGGTTTGGGGGGAAAATATAATAAAAAAAGAATTTCATATTAAAGCTAGCATAAAATCCTTTTTCATTATCATATATCAATTTAGTCCCTAAGGAATTAATTTTGTTAATTTAATCCCTCAAGCTTCAATCCCCAACAATCTCATCCCTCCTTCCATTTAGCCATAACTCTGTTGACACAAAATGCTTACATTACTAGTAAATGATCTTGTATTCTATAATGGCCTGAGTATATATATGAGTTGTATTTTGGTCTGGAGTTTAATTAACCTAGTATATATAGGCCTAATATTTTAGGTATTCAGCAGTCATATACTATATTTTATTCTTGCAGAGCTTTTCAATACTAGAACCCTAATCCTAACATTCATACTACAAATTTCCCTCCTCTTCAACCATAATTCTCTAAACAATTTTCTGGATAAAAACAAGAATCCTTTTTCTTAGAAACTGGATTGTACAGCATGATATGTCTGTCTGTCAGCGTGTACACATGCCCACCTATTTAGTATAGTTTACCAGAAACTGATGATACTTCAAAAAACTTATCAAAATATCCTACCGATGATAAAAATCACAATCCCGCTCATTTCTTGACATTGCGTGTAGAAAGTTATAGGTCTGTAGCAACATTTTCCTTGGCATCTGCCATGAGATCATTGGTTTAGAAATAACTACACTCATATATGTTTGATGAAAACATAATTTCAACAAACAAAAAAGCACTTCATAATAATAAAAGAAAAGTTAATAAACACAAGGGAAAATTCACTTGCCTTCTCGGAGAAAAGGTTAACCCGCACAAAGGAACAAAAGAGATCCATAAATGCATGTAGTATAAGAGAATTCTGATGGGGCTGCAAAACACTGTGCCTAGTTATTTGAGATATGCAAAAGGATAAAGCAATTATTTATTAGATTATTTTAAATGTTAAGATAAGACATCTATTAAAATCACTCCATTAAAGTGAAGAACTCCAGATCAACAGACTAAAAGGAGCAAAGATAACTCACTATGCCCTATTTCTATCCTATATTTGATACATGACAAATGTATTTAAGAAGCACTCATAAAAACTGAGTGGTTTTCAGAAAAATATGATGGGAGTCCACACTTTGTTGTCAGCACATGGTCATTGAAGACTCAAGTGGAGAAAGAGGACTAGGCACATCTCATATGATGTTATATGTACAATTACAAACCACTTCAAGATCCTTGTAACATGAAAACAACTCATTTTGTAGGAAGCAACAATATTGAGACTCACCAACAATGTAATTACTGTACTACTTAGATCCAATATAAGTCGCAGAGCTTGTTCACGAAACACCATCAAGTCAAGAAGCAGCTGACACACACAAAAGAAACATTACCATGTGAGCTCAGATAACATGAAGCTAAATTGGAAGTTGGCATAAACAACTGAGTTTTAGTTGACATGTACAAAGATAATGGAATGTATAATCTATCTCATTCAGGTCAATCAAAGCTGGTGGTATCAGGAGAATGCAGAAACAGGTCCTTTTCTTGAAACATTTTATGATGAAATGTGCATATAAAGGGAAAATTTGAGAGGAAATAAACCATAGAATGATCAAACGAAAAAACAATTGCAAAGAACAAAGGTAAAATGGACCTTTGGCCAATCAAATTTTCTGTTTTCTTGAAACATTTTATTGATGAAATGAACATATAAAGGGAAAATTTGAGAGGAAATAAACCAGAGAATGATGAAACGAAAAAACAATTGCAAAGCACAAAGGTAATAGACCTTTTGCCAATCAAATTTTCTGTTTTCTTCATGAAGGATGAAATAAATTGTCTTAATACATAAAGCACCAGATTACAAATCCTTGCTTGCATTACTTGAAATCTGAACAGTTATAATGTTAAGGTATTCTATGTTAAAAACTACTTCCTCTAGTCCTTTTTATAAGGCACTTTAAGCTAAATAACACAGACCAAAAATAATAGTTAAAGTTAGTTGAGTTTCTAGATTTTAGTAAAAAATATTATGACATGACAATTTTACCTTCATTTAATACCATTGAACCTAAACCTATTATCAACACTTACCCTTCTTAGTTTTAATTTAGGTTCCCACAAACTTCATTTATTAAGAGCAAATGGGAAAAACGTAATAAATTTTTTATAGAAACTATGAAGTGCCTTATAAAAAGGACCACTAAAAGCTTATATAAGGTGCCATATAAAAAGGACCAATGGAACTATTATTTGTATTGCATTTGTAAGTTTATTGTTATCGAGCAGAGCTTGAACAAATTGTATTACACCAGTACCTTAATCTGGACTATTAGTATGCATAGGAGGACAAGTTCAGTTTTTTGTATCACAACTATTCATATTTTCTTTTGGACTAAAATTTAGAGAAAAGAAAAGAAGTACAACAAGGGAAGGAATGGGTATCCTCTCCAAAAAACATAACACAGAAACAAGAATACTCAAAATGCAGCAAAGTTGTCCAATCTCACTCCATATTGGAGATGGCAACTCCCCTGAAACAGCAACGGGCCAAAACCAAAGATTAAAGATAGAAATATGCATATAGACATATAAGACAACAACAACTAAGCATTTTCTCACAACGTGAGATTGTCTACATGGATCAAACAACGTAATAATATTCTTTTGCAAGTCATATTTATTTACAAAGGATTAACTTCTAGATTCTTCCTAATTGTTTTTCTTATAGTTTTTCTCAAGCTCTCTTTCCCTCTAGCTACTAGGCTACCCTCCAATTCCATCAAACCAACTCTTCTTACTAGAGCTTATACAAGTCTTCTATGCTAATCTCCAAATCACATAAGGCAAGACAACCATCCAATGGGTGCTACCCCAATTTTTTCCTTCATTCCTAATCCTATTTTGGTAAAGTTAGGACAAACTTCTCAACAAACACTTATAAGAGAAGAAAATAAAGAGGTAAAATGAATCAAACTTTTCTCAAATTAAAATGAACTTATGCATCTTAGCTTGTATGCATGAGCAAGAAAAAATATATGCATTGTAAGTTTAGCAAAAAAAAAAAAAAAACAAGATGAGGATCATGTGTTGGAAGTTAAAATTGAAGATGATATTATGCCACAAGTTTCCAAATTCAAGTACTTGGGATCGATTATACAAAATGATGAAAAAATATGTTACTCACATAATACAAGTTGAGTAGTTAAAGTAGAGAAAGGCATAAGGAGTTATTTGTAACTATAGAGTATCTATCAAACTGAAAGGAAAGTTTTACCAAACTGCAACATAACTAGTTATCCTATATGATAGTGAATGTTAGGTCTTAAAAGAACAACACGAGTAGAAAGTGAAAGTAGCAGAAATAAGAATGTTAAGGTGAATAAGTAGTCACACAAGAAATGACAAGATATGAAATAATAGTATATGAGAGAATATTGATATAACACCTATAGTCGAAAAGATAACTAAAAATCGTCTAACGTGGTTCAGTCTTGTGCAAAGAAAACCATTAGAGGCACTAATAAAGAAAGTGAATTGCATGACTCTTAATCTGTTAAAGAAGGGTTAAGGAAGACTCAAAAGAACCTTGGATAAAGTTATTAAAAGAAACTTTTTTATTAATTAGATTTCTAAAAATTTGATTTTTGACCGAACTTAATGGTATCATGTGATCCATGTAGCTAACCTTACCAAGGGGGATTAAGCTTGGTTGTTGTTATTGTTATGCATCTTAGCTTGTTTAGAAACTCTATTATCTAATTTCTTCAAAAGTTAAAAGGCATAACTTGATTCTTATGAGAAAAGTTTGATTCATTTTACCACTTTTATGTTTTTTCCTATAAGTTCTTTATGGAGAAATTATACAAATTAGATACTTCTCCAGCATGTACACTCATTCAATGCTCTACTACAATGAGTTTATTCTCTCATTGGCTTTTTAACTACAAGATTCAATTACAAACAACACTACAAGTCTTCTTGTTGTCTAGTAAAATTTTCCTTTAAGTTTAAGGAATGGCTTATTATCATATATTACACTTGAAACACTCCTCCATTTTATCCATCCCACTTAAATCCTAAGGTTTACATCTCCCCTATATTTATCTATCATCCCATACAATGGACCCTAGATACTTAAACCGTGCAAGTAGAAATAAAAGAGCACATTCATAAATGATGACTGTCATAAATCTAGTTAAGATAGAAGCTTGAACTTTTGAAATGGAGTTTTTCATGCAAAAGCACCAAATTGAAGATTTTAGTTTATTAACACAGATCAACACATAGATGTCATCATCAACAAGCTTAACCATAGTATGAGGGAAACAAAGAGTGCCAGGCACCCAAGTTGCTTTAGCTAATGTATTGGTGTGGATTGCTACATAATAGTCAAAAAAAGAATGGGGATAGTTGTTAGCACTTGGCAGTAGTTTTGTGTTCTTTTAATCTTGTTATATACGAAGAACTATCACAAGCGGAAAAAAATAATTAGGATAGATCATAATTGGTTTTTAGGTGTCTCCGCAAGTGGTCCATTTAAAGCCTTTGTTTAAGGGTGTAATGGTTCAATTGTGTAAAAACTATCTGCCTGGGTCTCAATTCTAGCCGTCTGTGTGTGCTACAGTACCTCATGTTGTATCAGCTCTAAATTTAAAGTACATGTTTAGACTTAAGTACAAGCTTCAGCCTTCTCTTTCAATCTTTCCAATGTTTCCTCCTAGGGAAAACAAATAAATGTAGGAACGAATCACAAATTTCCAGATACTATGTTACTCATACAGATAAATCAAGTAAAGGAAGATACCCACAAGTAGAATTTGGCAAGTCTTAATAACTCAAATTAATTGACCAAAACAAGTAAGCTGAGCTGTCATGAACCAACAAACCGAAAAGGTTAAGTGTTTGTTTGTTTTAAATTTTGTTAGAATTGGTTTTGAACTGTTGAACATAAAATGTGTACCCAAATGAATCTCACCCAAAGATTCTACATTGTAACACGTCACAGTGTGTAAAATTGATTTTGGAAGTAAACCAAAGGGCACTAATTTGTTCAGTAAAGGGATGTGAACATTTTTATATCTAACATGAGAGCATTCAACTAGAATGTGAAAGCCTTCATTTGATTGCCTGAGGGTTATGAATGGGAAACACATGGAAAAACCAGAAAAGTATTAAAATAGTACCTGCACCCATGGTTCCAGGCTCTGTAAATGAAGCTCGGCATGATCTTGCATCGAATCCCAAGCAATCTTGTCTATCTGCATCCATTTTCTTCCCAAATGATGAAATTTGTGGAGGCCATAATCAACATTCAAAATGTAAAGCATATCAGTCATCACTTCTTACACGTTCAAGTTGCAATTTGCTGAAGTGTTCTGGAAATTTCTTAGAGAGCAACACGCAGATTCTAGGATGATTGGGGAACACACTGGCTTTCCAAAACCCTTCTGAAAATACATGGTTGATGGGATCTGGATAATCCAAAAGCTGATTTAACCTATACATCTTAGCCATAAGACCTTCAGCAACTTCAGTGAGTTGCACAACCCACTGCATGTTAATACCCTTGTGCGATTGGGATGGCGTCGTGCCCTGAGACTGCCCATCATGAAAGATATTCCTGGAACTGCTAGATGACAATGGAGAAGTCATTTCCGGTCCAAGGTAGTCCGTCCATCTAGATGGACCATCCCACTCCCTCGATCTTGCAGCAGTGGGTGACAATGAAGAATCCTGGTTTGATAATTTTTGCCTCGACTTTGCCATTAACTACTAAGCAATCTGCATATTATATCGAGTTTCCAACAAATCAAGCTCATATATATCCAAATAAGCCCCTAAGCCTTTCTCACTTCACACTTATAATTTCATTAAATTGACATTCAAGTACAAGTCAATCCAAGCCAGTTTGATTACCAAAAATAGAGCCTTAAGAAATATTTTCAACTCTCTAAACCTAAAATCTTAAAAAATATACAGATAATCTGTTCCCAGGCATACATAAAATAAACAACAAAAGAATGAGCCTACAATTGACGTGACTATGAGCACACAAGACGCTTTAGTGAAGTGAAATAGTGAGTTGTAAGCATGAATTTTGCAGTTTAGAAGGAAAGCAAGTTAAGTTATTAAAGAGAGCTAAAACCTAATTCCAAATTTAGTGGCTATGAGCTGAATAGCAGAAAGAACAAGCAAAAACATCAAGTGTAGCAAAAAGCAGAAGCATTTCTCTCCAGAAAGCCAAATTCAGAGCAAGAGAGAGAGAGAGAGAGAGAGAGAGAGAGCTCACAGTCGCAGAGGAAAGAAAGAGACGTTGAATGAATCGGAGAGTGTCAGATCTGAGAATGGGAGCTTCGTGCGGTGTTAATTGAAATGAATTAAGAAGAGAGAGAGAGAGAGAGAGAGAGAGAGAGTGGTGGCAATGCAATTCAAGTGCTTGAGCTGCACCTTCAGAGCGGATATTATTGTTAGTGTTACCTTCCTTTCTATTTCTAATTACCATTTTATTTAAATATATTAAAAACAGATCCGCCGTTTTGTTTTTCTTTTTCAGTTTAGTTCTGACGCCTATTTCTTCGCTTTCACGACGTGCGTCTGCTTCTCCTCCGACTCCTACTCTTGTACATACGACAATCGCACCCCGGTATTTACTATTTTTGTTATTATTATTATTATTATTATGCAGATTAATTATAAAACTTTAGGAGGATTAGATGATTATAAAGTAATGATTACTGTAATAAGAGTTTTATTTATAGTCCTGTACACTTGCATGTCATCGTAATAAGAAAATAAATTAAATCCAAACATTTCTTCATTATTTCTGATGATAATTTTATTTTTATTTTTAAAGTGATTATTAAAGTAAGTTTTTTCAAGATATACACACTACATCATAAATGTAATTGATGCACCCAAATTCATTCCAGCGGTCCAATCTCTACACCAGATACATTTACCGTTTAAAATTGGATTTACTTAATTCACGTAACTTTTAAATACTAATATGTCTATACTCATCCCGATTCGCATCTTGACTAAATTAAGCATATTTTCTTTTAACGTACCTTTTTTTTTCTTAACAACAAACTATAGCATAACAACAATTTTACTTTAATACCAAAATTAAATATTTAAAATAGTAAAATAAATAATATTGATTAAATATATCTCTAAATCAATCATAAAATATCTAAACTTATTTCAAATGCTAGTTATAAAATTAGACAAATTGAATAGTTTTAACATATTTCAAATCCAACAAAATAAAGTAATTAATTATAAAACATAATGTAATGTTTTAACATTAAGTAAATAATAAATAATATAGTAAAACAAACAATTAAAGATATGGATTAAGCGTTTTCCAATAAAAATTGTCAAACTCGTCAAACTAGGTAAGTATCATAATATTTTGGACTTCGAATCTACTACATATTTAATCATATATGTGAATTTAATTTAATTGAGGTAAATGGATAATAAATTACTTATATATATATATATACACACACAAGGAGTCAGATTCGTTCAAATCTCTCATCACTCCGACAACGTGAATAATTTTTTGTGAGTACGTATAATGTTCAAATCCAAATCCAATTGTCATATCAACAAATTCTTACTTAGTCTTCCAAAAACTTTGATTGCCAAATCTATAAATCCTCAAAACCTAAAACACTACATATTAATCTGAAGGCAGAAAAAAAATCAAATCGATATCAAATATTTAAAAAATTACTATATTTCTCTTTATTAAGGACCAAAAAATTACTCAACTTTTTGTTGTATTTTTTAAAAGCATTCTTTTGCTTTTCACTTGATATTAAATATATTTAAATTGTTTTTTAGAAATTATATGTGAATCACAATAGCTAATCTGATTTATAACTTCAATTTTATACAAATGATATTTATTTTATAATAATAATAATAATAATAATAATGGTACTGTGAGGATGAAGAGGAAACTCTAGTTCTTATAGGCTCCATAATTATGTTGCATAGACATCATAAATATATCACCGAATATCAACAATGCCATGATGGTTAAAAAGAGAGTAATAACCACGCCATTTCATCTAGTGACATCCACTGTACGAGGTATTTATAGATTATTGGTGGGTCATAGAACTGTTTGCACTAAAAATATTCAATTAAGAATACATAAATAATTCATCTTTTTGTTTCATTATGCCTCTGCCAAACCATTGCTACCCGAGTATATATATAGTAAATGGTATAAGGTGTAGTGGGTGGAGGCAATCGTAGAACAATTATGATGTAGGGTCACAGAACGTGTATTTTTAATCCCCATATCTAATGTGAATCATTGGGTACTGCCTACTGGGACTATTGGAATTAGTTTGACGGGAAACATTTGATACTTTGAAGCCAAGTGCTGTATCTTTGAAGCATTTATATCTGTCACTGATTACCATACTTAGCTTGCACATCAAGCCTCCATCATTTCATTTCTTAATCACAAGTTATTTTTCTCATGTTTATAATGGGGTTGTACGTCAAGTATTTAGTGTGTTTAGCCTGTTTTTTTTCATTTCTTCCAATGTGCTGTGCTGATAATTGATGGATTAAAAGTTTGATCTATCATAGCTTATTATGAAAAGAAAAAAAAAATCTTAAAATTTTTATTCCAACCTATAACACACATATTATAATTTATAAACTTATTCCATGTCTCATTCCATATCTACATATACATAAACACACGTTTATGTAACAGTAGTTTTAATGTGCATACACTGACATATTTAATTTGCACTTTGTCGTGCACTACTCTATTGATCCGTTTGCATGTATCACAGATGCAAAACAAAGTAAAAAACAATTGATAAAGGAAGATGAAATGGTGGTTGCTTAATCAAAGGTAATATTATGTTTAGATTAAATTACTGAGTCTTACGAATTCCGTTTAAGGAATTAATAAATTTTTACTAAAAATTATGTTTAGAAATAATGAGATAAATGTCTTTTCAAGTTTTTAATTAAAGAAATATTTTTAATTCATAGTCTTTCGAGGAATTATGAATTGTTCAGGTGAATACTCTTTAGATGGAAAAAAGAAGTCCAAGTGTACGAACTCTGAAAGCTTCAACACCTGCTTGTTTTTATAGTAGTATTATTGAAACGCTTTCAATTGCTCTAAATAGTTTAATGGAGACTCAAATAAAAAAAGGGTAGCAGTTGATGAATCATAAGCACAAAATACACATTATAATATATTCACAATTATTAATAACTTGTTAAAAGGAGAAGGGCAGTTAACATCAGTGGTTGAAAGTTGAAACCAGATGCGTTTGTCATATATGAATTGCTACTCTTGAATTAGGAGAACACAAGTATGGGTCAGTAGATGATAGACAGTGTCCAAATTAAAAATAAACCAATCATAACAAGAAAATGGTTTACAATCTCAACCAAATAAGAAGTGACTCCGGCTATTGAATTTCAGTAAAACGTATTGCTGAAGTGTGCAGAATCTAGATTGTTTGGGCAAAAATTGACTAAATAAAGAGGACTAAAAAATAAGCTACGTTTGTTAGAGAAAAGTAAGAGCACATGACAGCAAAAGAGAAAATAAGAGATTACAAGAAGCCGGAACTGCTACTGATAATTCATTTCCGCATATGATCTTAAGTCAATTGGATTTAAATCAAGGGACTTGATCATTTTCTACTTAATTTAATACAACGTAAACATCACACGGACAAGAAAGAGACCTGTCAACTTCTACAAACAAGCAAAACCGCACATAAATCTATAAAAGACAAGACACGTACCAAAAGCTAAAACTTGGAAAAACTCCTCTTTTTGCGTAATATACATTAGTGTCGAGCTTAAACTTGAATTTGATAGTCGATATTCAAACACTCTGTTAGAGAGAGTAATCCGGTATACTTGGTAGCTAGACAACAAAAGCGCGAGTCCATGTAGTAGGAATGCAGCACTCAACAAGTAATATTGTGGTGCATTTACCTACTCAGAATAAATTTGAAGAGGATAACGCTAACTAATTCATCAAGACTTGATAAGTGGACCGCATTTAAACTTACCCAAAGAAATCTTATACGACATCCTCAAAACTAAAATTCAAACTCAAGTGCTGCATATTTCATGCTTGCATTTCGTAGGTTGATTAAGTAATACATTTATTTAATAAATAATGCTTTCTCCTGTGCTCGTAAAGGTGCATCCTATGCACTTCCTAGAACGAAAGGTTAAGATAATTAAATTAACATTTTTAATATTTATTTTTATTGTAATTTTTTTAAGATCTTTGAAAATTTTTGTTAACGCAAATAGATCCTCTTCAATCTTTGATTGTCGGTATTGATTGGTGAATGAGTTAACATATTCATTAATTAAATATTAATTTTATTAATATAAAAATATGTATTAAATATTTTTTCTAATTTTTTATTTTTGTGTTAATTTGAAGGCTGATCCATTAACTTATTGGTTTACCAATCTGTTTTTTATTTTTATTTTTTAACTTGTTTGTCTACCTTAATTTAGTTCATCTTAGTAAAAATCATCTTCAATATTTGATTGGTGAATGAGTTAACACTTTCACACAATAATTTAGTTATAATCTTAGTAAAAAATTATCTCGCATGAAAGTAGGAATATCAAAGTGAGTCAAGTTTTACGGGTTGACTCACCTGACCCACCAAAAATAGGGCCAGGTTGAATATTTTATGTTTACCAACCTGCCTAGTTTGCAAATTACAGTAAATAGCCCATTAGACCCGTTTTTTTTATTTTTAGAGAATAAAAAATTATTTATTAATTAAATATTATTTTTATTAATATAAAAATTATTTATAAATATTTATTAATTTTTGTATTAATTTTAGGTGGCCTGATTTATTAACTCATTAGCGCACTAACTTTATTAAATTTTTTTAACTTGCTAGCTTGCCCTTAAACGCGTTGGACTAGAAAATTTAGCTAATTTTCTAAAATGAGACATGGTGAACTAACTCACTCTGACACTCTTACACAAAAGTATTTATCACTTTATTTTATCTTATATTCTTTTTTCAACTATTGGTTGTTGACAAGAATATATTTATTAATAATTTTGTTCTTTTCTAATTCAAACTCTTTTAAAGTGAAGTTTTCATAAATTAAAAACTTAAAATCCTTAACAAATTTAAATTTTTTGACATTCTCAATTGCATCTTGGTAGAGATGACAAGAACTTAGTCAGTGTAATACATTTGGAAGTACATTCTTAACAACTTCTCTCATTGCACCACCATCATTAATAACCACTACTTTAGGGTGCTTACCAAACATAACTTCATCTAAATGTAAATTATCAACTTGTGTCTTATATGTATCATTCATCTTATGATTTTAAAATAGTAAGTGGACATAATGAATAAAGTTAACCAATGGTTGTAAGATTTTGCAAAGGTCACAACCTTCTATGTTGAAGTCTTGTTATCTAGGTGAACTTGAAACTTAACTTTGCAATTAGTTTGAGTCATAGACTTGTGTTCTCTAACTCAGTCCACTCATTTGAGATGTTTCTTTTATCCCTTAGGCTCTTTTTATTACAAACCAAATGTCGCATGATAATACTACCTCTAGAATCACGATCAATATCATTCTTTCTAATAATAAATCTATGGTATTTTACATAATTTTGATAAAATCCACATGTATCAGAGTCGTATACATAATCAAGATTAAATATATATTCAGTTGTTAACTTATTTAATTTTTTTGTAAACATTAACTTCAATGTCATTGTTAACTTCAACGTTCTTCACACAATTATATGCTATAATAACATATTTTCTTCCAATGTTATAACCATTATTATTTTTAGTAAAAGTCAAATTTAAATTTGTTATATTATCCAAATTAATGCAATATTCATCATCATTTGTCATTTTTAATTACGTGCAAAGATATTGGTCACAATAATATAACATATTACATTTTAAAATTAAAATAAATCAATTTTAATTAACAATTTAAATACAAATTAATATATATGTTCATGAAACAATTTTATTACAAGTGAAAGAATCTATTGCGAAGTTGATATACTTTTTATGTAATTTTTAATAGAATAAGTAAAGTAATAATTGAAAAAATATAACAAAACTTAAAATTTATTATATAACATTTGTATTAGAAGGAGGTACATCAAGAAAAAGTAAGAAAAGAAAATCTAACAATAAATCTTTTAACAAATTATTAAAAAGAATATTTGCACAACAAAATTTCTAACATCATAATAGCATCTTAATCTAAGGTTTATTTATTTATTGTGAACCATACCCTTCTTTTTTTTTTATATATATCAAGAAAAATAAAGGATTAATTGCACTTTTGTTTCTCTAACTATTGTGTTTATTTAATTTTAATCCATCAATTTTTAATTACATGATTTTAGTCTTTCTATTTTTTAAATTTAGCAAATTTCATCCTACCACTAAATTATTATCCATTTTTTAATAGAAATTGTATAATTTTCTTCTTGCTCTATGTGCTTTTGGTCTTTATTTTATTTTATTTTCCTAATTTTTAATTGTGTGATTTTAGTCCTCCATATCTTCTTAATTTAACAAATTTAGTTCCTCAATTATTGTATTTCTTTTTTCTCTTGACCCTTTAACTGAACTCTCCTATTGTTGACAGAGTTTCACCATTGCATCCCCTCTGTTACCTCTCTAACCTCCCTCCTTTAATTCTTTTTTATTGTCTCATTTCTCTTCTTCAAAATCATTTATGTTCTCTTCTATGTCACCTCCATCCACCCTTCCTCCTATTCCTTTTTCTTAAAAACACAAACTTTAAACAAAAATTTGAGTCTTATCTTTGTTTTGAAGGGGGTCATATGCTTGTATAAGTCTACAATTTGACTTATTTTAAGAGAGAGGAAGGGTATTAATAAAGATCTCCCATTAGGCATCATCGATGCTTCCCTTCGTTGGTTCATGTTAACACAGTAAATGAATGTTTCATTGGTGTCTCCATTAAAAGTTAGAACTAAAACTTGAGTGACTAAAATTAAACTTACATGATAGATAAGAGACTAAAAGTGAAAAGAGGAATAAGATCATACAGTTTTTGTTAAAAATTGAATAGTAATTTAATATAAGAATGAAATTTGCTAAATTAAAAAAATATGCGTGCAATTAAAAATTAGAGGGCTAAAATCGAACAAACACGATAGTTGGGAGATCAAAAGTGCAATTTAGCCAAAAATAAATTATCCTATATTTTGTTGAAGTAATTTATATAAATGGACCAAAAAGATAAAAGTCAGATATTAGTATAATTTTTTAAGTAATAAATAAACTATGGGGAACTACCTACCCTTCTCAAATCTAAATATATTGTTGTCTTCCATAATTGTTTGAAATAATTTCACATGGTTGTAAAGTCAATCTTTTTTTTTGAACAACTTTAGCATCAATGTATCTTGACAAGAAAGACATAATTCATTGTGAACTCCTTCTGCCAAATAAAGCATATTTTGAATTTTATTCCATTCACTAGCTCAGTATAGACCATGATATTCTTTATAAAATATACTCTGTTGTACAAAGAAGTAGATTTGTTTTCCATCATCTTGTCTTTAAGACTTTGTTTAAGAATTAGTTTTGTGGGAGAAAGAAAGGGAAGAAAAAGACTTATTTGATGATAATTCTCGTTTAAAGGATTTTTAGATGGGAGAGAAATATTTTACAAACACTCTTAAGTCCATGCTTTTAAACTTTGTTTAGGAGTTAGTGTTTTGGGGGGGAAAAAGAAGAAGTCTTATGTGATAATAATTTTTGTTTAGGAGTTTTTAAATGAAAAACCCTCATAAGCCTATGTTTTTAAATTCTTATAATCTATGAGATTTTTTATTATCCATTATTCGTTCTTTCTTCTCTTATCCTTCAAATTATTTTTCTCTTTTTTTCTTCAAACTTTCAAATAAAACGTTGAATTTCTTCAATGTAAAGAGATTTTAGAGTGAAAAAAATAATTTGAAAAGTAATTGAAGAAAGGAGAATGAATATAACTTAATGAAAAGTCCTTTAAATTGAGATAGCTTAAAAATATGAGATTAGGAGGATTTATAAAATATTTATCTTGCTTTTAAAACTCTTAAACAAAATTTATCGTTAAATAAGTCTTTTTATTCTCTCTCTTTCTCCTAAAAATTAACTCCCACATAAAACTCAAATAAAAATAATATATTTGTTATTTTGCCACCCTATCCATCTAATGAGTTGCTATAAGAATGTTTTAAAAATGTAGAAATTATTTTTAGTTTAAATTTATGAAATATTATTTTATTTTTATTAATGACATGAAAAATAAATAAAAAAACTATTATTTTTGTTTGACAAATATTAGATTATCAACTTACGAGAATATAACTCATATAATGTTGCAATAAGTAATGGTATTGTTATTTAACATGCAATCAAAGGTATATATTTTATAAGATGATTACACTTAACTCCACGTGTAGTTGCAGAGCTAAAGAGTTTTAAGGTGTCGATAAATAAATAAAATATTATTAAAAATCAATTACATTAAAAATAATTTCATTATATTTTTACATAGTGATTAATATGTGGATTTTTTTTTGTAATAATTTTTCATTTTAATTTGATGTATTATTTTTTATTATTACAATTAAGTATGTTTATCATTTTTTTCTACACAACTCTTACATGGTTGTTGTTTATCCAAATAATTAAAGATTTATATATTATGTATTTGAGATAAGAATAATTGAAATATTATGTATTTGGTACTCAAATTTTATTCCCTATCTTATGACATTTTTTTAATATGCTCCTTAAACTAATGCTTAAAGTTATAATTTATTATTTTACCTTTTATTTTAATATAATTCCTCATTTATCACTTCTTTTAATATTAATCTAGTTATTTTAATTTATTAATAAACATTTAATATTTAAAAAAAACATTTGATTGTTAAACAAAAATTATAAGTGATGAATTTTAATTAAAAAAATCTAAAACATAGTTACCGAAAGTAATTTTTTTCTAGAAATTATAAATTTATATAACCTTGTCTTTTATGTTAGTTTTCAGCAAACACTAACCAATGCTTTAAGAAATCAAAAGTAAATTTTTTGTCCAAAAATATTTTTAATGCATTTCTTTTCATAATTTTTAATGTAACTCAACATAATTTTAATAAAAATATATATTTTTAAAATTTTTCACCTATGCCCTTGAGATTCTGGTTAATAATACCCTTATTTTATAGTTATGAAATGACTTAATAAATCAAATTTTATATATAATTTTGTGAGTATAAATTCTTAAATGAAAATATTTTTAAGAGTATTTTCAAATAAGAGAGTTTTTGGGATTAGTTATTTTTTTATAATACTAAGTATTTTTTAAATTATGTATTTGTTTTTAAATTAATATCAATGTAAAATTTATATTTTTATAATTTATTTTTCAATTTTATTTAAATATAAAATATTTATATATATGTTTGGACCAACGGGCTGGCCCGTGGTTCCCACGGTAAATAGCATGAGGACGAGACAATAGCCCCAAACAAAAAAAAACAAAAAAGGGACTAGGATGGGGCGAGACACTTGCTGTTGCTTAACGAACCGAGTCGGTTGGAGTTAACCTTCTTATGGTACGCTGTTAAAACTGAAACTGGGAAACATGCAAGCGTCATCCATCTGTGTAGCCAAGTTTTCAGTTGGCGTGAAGGCGCAGCACCCAACAGTGAAGAAAGAGTCCATGGCGGAGTCCACCATCCCCAAGTGGGCCCAAAAGACCGTTAGTTTACCTCCTCTCAGACGCGGCTGCCATCTCGTCACTTCCAAGGTCCCTGTCCTTATGCTATTCCCATTTCCTTATCTTTTTCATTCATTCGTTTTCGCTAAACCCTAACCATTCCTTTCTGGCTTTGCCTCCCTATCAGATTGTCAAAGAAATCGAGCATGACCTCTCTGGATTCAAGTGCGGCCTCGCTCATCTCTTCTGTGAGTATATGCACATATAAATGTATGTATATGATTTGTTTCTAATTTGGAGTTCGATGATTTCAACTTGGAATTTGTGACAGTGCAACACACGAGTGCTTCTCTCACCATTAATGAGAATTACGACTCTGATGTTCGCGATGATACTGAAACCTTCCTCAATCGGATAGTTCCCGAGGTTTCTTTCTATTACCAATACTAATTACTCCTTCGAATTTTAAATTTATTAAATTTCCGGGTTTTGTGTGTGCTGCAGGGGTCATCTGCGCCTTGGAAGCATACTCTAGAGGGTTAGTAATTTTGTTTTATTCACTAAACTTGTTATCGTTTTCTCGGTTTTTAAATAATATGGATATCATTTAGCTTCAATAATTTTATTCTTTTAATTATTATTATTCTATTTTATGTATTCAATGATAAGACCAAGTAATTAGAAGAAAATTATCTGCCGAAATTCTAATGGAAGATTATGTGCTACGATATTTGACTAATTGCTTTTGTTGTAACACTTGCATCATAAGCCATTTACTAAGCATAATGCTTCTGACTTGTGTTAGTTTTCTAAATACAGTTTGCATTTTTCTCTCCTCTAATGTATTGTACTTTGCATCCGTGACAACTGGCAATATTATTTGGATTTGAAATTTCGCAGGCCCAGATGACATGCCGGCTCATATTAAATCATCGATGTTTGGTTGTGCACTCACGTGAGAAATACTTCCATGCCTCAGTTTGATTTATTGTTATGATGAAAAGTTTTGTTTATGTTATCATCTACTAACTGACATATTGTATTTTTAGGATACCGATTACAAATGGAAAGCTTAACATGGGGACATGGCAGGTAAAAAATTCAATTTTGTAATGATATACCCAAAATCTGTGTGTGTGAGAGGGGTTTCCCTTAAAGTGCTGGGTTAAAGTGCACTTGGATGAGCAATAATTTTTCACAGCTCTTTTGGAATTTTTTTTCGAACTCATCCATGGATAATCCAGTTTCTGACCAATTCTTATTAGAATCGTGGCCCTGAAGTCAATGGCTGCCCATGTTTATCTTATGTATTTGCAATTCAAGGAGTTGAATCAATCCTTTCATTATTGTTAGTGTTTCAAAAGTTGTTGCTTCAGTAATTCACCATTAATGCCATATCCCAAGGGATTGATAGATATATTTCACAAGGACTGATACATGATACACTAATTGTGTTTAGGAAAAATCTTTAATTATTTCACAAACTTGAAATCTCACAATGCTTTCCTTCAGGATCGGTAATTCTCACACTATGTATCTGAAGTTTCTCAATCATTGTATTGGATTTTATCTATTTTGATTTGGAAGAGTGCATTTCCTTCATTATACCTGAACTTGGGACTAAGTTCATGTGAACCATAAGGTTTATCAGTAAAAATCCAAAAGGACAAAGTTATAGATTTTGACTATGAGTAACTAGCTAAGCATTCCATTCACTATCTCTTGTAAGAACAGGGTGAAAAACTGATTTTCTTGGGGGTTGAATGTCAAAAATATTAGTAATGGCAACTGTATTTTTAATAAGCTTATGAAATTCTGTGCTCTGAAGGATGAGGAAATGAAGTATGAAATTTCATATTGTGTGCTGGGGGTTTTTCTCAATAAAATTAATCCTTATTAATTGAAAAACAGAACTTTAATATGGTAGTGTTTAGTTAACAATATTTTATGATAGAATCTGTGATAATGGAGTTGGCATGGTTGACATGAAGAACTGTTAGTTACGCTTTGCAGATGTTAGCACTACATTTACTATGAGATTGTGACACATTTTGAGAAAAAAACACCTTAGGTTGGATTAATATAACATCAAAATTAATAATATATTTCTTCCTCTCTTATGTTAAAGGGTATATGGCTTTGTGAGCATCGGGATCATCCTACCTCACGAAGAGTTGTTGTCACTCTAAATGGAATATAAGGTGCCAAGTGTGTTTGCTTTACTTCATCTTCGTGACTATGTTCAAGAGAAACTCAATTTGTAATTTTTAGCAGGATATGTTCGAGACAAACCTATTTTGCCTATGTAATTTGAGCACCTTGATATGTACGCAACTGCGAATAGCGTTATGCCTATATATAATTTAATGCATATAAACATTCTGAATAATTATTTTCTATTTTGTTTTGGGGGTAGGGTTACAACATTCCGAATAGTTAATATTTATACGTGTTTCCTACCAAGGTCTGGGAATTGATAAACAGTGCTATAGATTTTAGGCATTGATCAAACTGTGAGTAATGTTATTATCCCGTGAATGCTTCACAAATGCATATAAAACAATATTATAATTTAAAATGATTAAAGATGGACAAGGACTTACTCAACCTTAAATACTAGCTCAAGGAAGAGGATTGTTTTAGATAAGAGGCATTCTAGCGATATATTTAGTTAATGTGAAACATATCAATATGCATCCTTTCACACTTTGGACTAGATATTTAGAATGTAAAAGTTGGCAAAATTAGACATCCCAACATTAATTTTGAAGAAAGATAATCTACTATTTTCTGTCGATCATAAGGAGCGCTGGCCTTGTTTTAACTTCTCTCCCATCATAGATCCTTCATTTCATAGAGGCGATTATGTTCCTTTTTTCAGTAAGTTATGCATTCTGCCATATAACCTATGGTAATGGTCAAATGTTGTCTAGTTCGTTGGCAATTTTTTTTTTCTCACGTTTTCCGTAGCCACTGTTCAACTTGCATGTGAACATCATAGGGTTAGCGTATCCTTATACGAGTGTATTTTGTGTTAGATTTAGGTGGATTTCGAGTAGAGCATAAGAGACAGACAGGCATGGCACCAAAAATTGACGAGTGATTGATGTGAAGAAGGAAATGTAGTACAGACCTAAGAATGATTACATAAATTTAAACTCAGTTTAGCGTCATATGTAAATCTATATCTTTTCAGATGTAGTTTTGTATTCTTTCATAAAAAGTGAAAAATATCATTCCACTGAATCAGAAGCTCGTGAAAAATAAAGATAGAGCACTCAAGACTCGACACAAAGACAAATTGTGAAAAGGAAACAAGCAATTCTTAGCTTCCCGAGTTTAACATGATCTACAACCAGGAGAGTGCTGAAAGATCTTCACAAGATCATCAATGCTTGGAATCTTCTTCTTCACAGAACTTGGAGTACTTCTCTGAATCCATCAAGTTGTTTAGCTCACCACTCTCACTCATCTCAACCTTAATTATCCATCCATCTTCATAAGGGCTTGAGTTGACCTATATACCAAGAAACGTAGGACAACATAAAAACACGTGTTTGATAAAACATTCAATGCGATCCTTCAGCATTACACAAGCCTAATGATAAAACAATTTATAGGGTATAAAGAAAGTATAGAAAGGAGAAAAAATAGTTAAAACACTAGGACACTAAAACTCACCAAAGCCGGAGAGCTGTTAAGCTCTTCATTGACTTCAACCACTTTTCCTGAAACAGGAGAGTTAATATCACTAGTAGCCTTCACACTTTCAACTGCACCAAAACTACCTCCTTGTGTTACTTTCACTCCCACTTCTGGCAATTCAACATATACAACATCACCCAAATGATCTTGGGCATGATCCGTTATCCCAACGGTTGCGGAATTTCCATCAACTTTTACCCACTCATGAGAATCAGCATACTTCAAATCTTTAACAACTGGAGGTTTAACACAGAAGAAGTCAAAAAGGCAACTAAATGTCAGTGAAATAAATATCTTTAAGCAAAGTGTTCTTTTTTACATTTTGAAGCCAATATGTAGATTAACTTCTGTAAATGTTAGTTGCAATAGACAACCAATCATTTCCACATCCTACATGTTCAAATGGACATTTCACATTTAGCATATAATTGAGATGTGAATATGCAATGAATTAGATAACCATTTATTTTTAAAACTAAATAAGCACACAGTAGGTATTTTCAATCAGGTATGCCAATGCTGAGATAATCTCCATCCTACAAATTATAGTTTTAGTTACTTTTTTTTCTTAAGTGTTTGCAATATTGGTGATCCACTGAACCAAGAGTTTGATTTTACATAAATTTTAACATATTAAGGTCCAATGTAATGTACCTGATGTTAGTTCAGGACAGAACAAAATTTAAGCAACTTAAAGACCCCATCAGATCTGGGATAGTTTTGAAGGCTTGTTTGGTTTCAAGGAGAAGAATTACTTTTGAGCAGAATGTATTTTGGAAAAATTACTTCAAAACAATGGGTTGAGTTTAATTAGTCTGTCCACCCAGCCAATTAGGATTGATGAGTATTATTTTGATTAGGTAAAATTTGAATTATAACTCAATGAGCAGAAATTGACAAAAGTATGTAAAAAATGCATTTTACCAAAAAGTAATAATTTATTACTTTATCCCTAATATGCATGCAAGTTAAATTTGATGAAATTTACTTTGAAAAGCCAAAACAAGTTTGACACCAAAAAGTTGTTTTCCACCAGATATCCAAATATGCACCAGAAAACGAGAAAAGCATTTCCCTCTGAAGTAATATTTAAATCTTCAATATCGAAAATGTAACAAACAGCATAGCTACAACCCAAAATTCAAACTTTCGGTAACAAAACTCTCTGAAAATGCATACAAACATGAAACATTTTCAATTTTAATTTTGAAATTTATCATAGTTTCCCTTTACATATTCAATGTTTCGAAAACCAAAATCCTTTCTACCTTCTGTCACTATCCATTACCAGCTCCATCATATCATTCTTCCTAGATTCCCATCGCAGTCCATTCAGTAGGGAGGACCACCTCTATTCATACCACTCTCATTTTAACATGAGTTGGGGAATTTAATTTCTAGAAGTATATTTAATACTTTTTAAAATTTAAATTTTAAAAGTGTTTTACAAATGACTTTGAGAATTTAATTTCTAAAAAGTATAAAATTACTTTTGAAATTTAATTTCTAAAACAGATTTACAAATGACGTTCGAAATTTAATTTTCAAAAATGATTTACAATTGGCATGGAAAAAATAATTTCTTTTAACAGGTCACTGGTAATATAGGCCATTAAGAACCTATAGCACTAAAATAGGTTAGAACCACTAATAAAAATTTGGTTGGACACAGGACATTTTTAACCCTATTTTTGTGGTGGGTGGGTGATGCACTTTCCCCTACCTACCACCGCTTAGAAGGCTACTTGGCATTAAAATATAAAGATATAAATGAAAAGGTGGAAAGAGCAGATGTCAACAAGGCTATTGGATTAAGAGATGGGCCATTCATGGCTCAACCCAAGCTACATGTTAGTACTATGATGTATGTTATACATAAGAAAGCCCACGAAGAAATGTGAATTTTCAATCCAGAATAGACCCCAGATTTAAAATGGAACATTCAAGGATATGGATCAAGATTCACAGCATAGATTTCATTTAAACCATACACATGACATGACAAACAACTCAATTGTAAGTGATCGGTAAACAAAACATGAAAAACAGATTATAGAAAGAAGCAGATGGAGATTACCATTCGAAAAGCCTCTGTGGAAGATAGAGATCCTGAGGTAGGACGCAGCTCTTGAAGCCCACAACTGCCTGCAAGCCATCTCTCTCTCTCTCTCTCTCTCTCTCTCTCTCTCTCTCTCTCTCTCTCTCTCTCTCCCCTTCTCCCTCGCTATGTTATGTGTGCTGTTGAACACTTAACATTTGTACTAACACCATTTATTTATAAATATTGAGGCGGTTGGTGAAAGTTCTTTGTTTTAATTATTCTTTTAAAAAATATCTATTTTTGGTTAGGAAAAATATGTTATATTTTCTCAATACGAAGGATTTTTTTTCCCTGTTTTTATAACTGTTCATAATCACGTATATATGTGTGTTCTTTGTTCGCATTATTTATTTTGTCATATCTATTTTATAAATTTTTCTATCATATTAAATACATTTTTAAGTATTTAATTGAAATACATTAATAATATAATTTTGTTATACTATTGTTTGATATAGATTGTCATGTAATTAAAAAAATGTTAATTTTTGTAATAATTATTTTAAAAATTATATTTATAGTCTTTTAATTAGTTGTTAGCATAAAAAATATTACATTAATAATGTATTAAAATTATTTTTATTAGTTATTTAATACAAAAATTTGTAACTATTTCAATTAATATTTAAATTTATTTAATTAACATTAAGTATAATAAATATTTGCATATACATATTGTCACTAAAATAATATTTTATTAATTAAGTTTTAAGAATTTTAAAATAATATATATATATATATATATTCATCTTAATTTATATATTTTTTAAATTACAATATTTCACATTAGATTGTGTAAATTTAATTATCATCAAATATTTAAGTTTATATCAAGTTCAATAAAACTACTTAATCATTGTATATACTCATTTATGTTCTCATATCTTACTCTTATGATGAGTGGCAACTTTATTAGATATGTCATGACTCATTGTACATACACAATATGCATTTGCCGTATAATAAACATTACAGTATTATATGTGCTAAATAAATAAATCAACACCTATATAAAGAGAAAATTTCCTTAGTCTTAGTATACAATTTTATGGCTCTATATACCTTAATTTTAACAAAAATTCTTCTAATTTGGGCATTGAAGTGTTTCCTATAAGAACAATTTTCATTGAAGCCTTTGAAGAGCTTTTAGGTAGAGAACTGCAATGCCACTCAACCCTAACTTTTTGTATAAAACATTCATATCGTTTGTGATAAACTAGTAAAACAATTCCTAAAATTACCATAAAGAATGCTCTCTATCAATCAAAAATACTTGTAGGACAACTAAAAGTTACCTTAGCCAAGGCGTGCCTTAAAACGTGCCTTAAAAAAGATTATGAGTTTCATCTTAATCTAAGCCAAAGTTCATCCAAGCTAAGGCTCAGGGTCCACATCGATCAAGGTTCACCTAGGCTTAAGGTTTATCCTAACCAAAGTATGAAGAACATTAGAATAATCTTAAGCTTCATTTTGGCCTAGGCTCACCTAGGATCAAGGTTCATCTTGACCAATTTTCATCTCGATTAAGGTGTGAAGAGCATTAGAATAACATAAAGTTTCATCTCGACCTAGACTCAGGGTACATGCTGACCAAGACTCACCTAGGCTCAGGGTTTACTTTGGCCAAATTTCATTCTGACCAAAGTGTGAAGAACATCATAATGACCCCAAGTTTTATCTTAACAAAGGTTTTAAGAGAACCCTAGAAAGGCATCAAGGTTCACTACAACCTAGGCTAGAGTTCAACTCGGCTAAGATGTGAGGTTCACCTCGACCAAGGTGTGAAGAGCACTCAGTATGCATTTTTATACATAATAAAATAATATTTTTTTCAGAAGTCTTTTGCAAATTCAAATTGAAGGCTAAGTGTGAAGAGCACTTGGAGCCTAAAGATATGAAAAACATCTACCCTACATTGAAAATCAAATGTGAAGAGCCTAAAGATGAAAAGAGCATATGGCTGACATCGAAAACTAAGTGTGAAGAGCACTTGAGGCCTAAAGATGTGAAGGTAATTTAGCCAACATCAAAAACTAAGTGTAAAGAGCGCTAAGTCTCACAATAACCTCGACATTAAGAGTGCTTTAAACTTAGAAACTAAATATATCAACAACAAAAAAAATTCATCTTTCATTCACTTCATCTCGACTTTTCCACTTCATGGCAAACTCAAGTTGAGGGGAAATCGATCCAAAGTTAAACATTTAAGTCTAGCTTGACCTCAACCGAGACAACTCAATCATCGTGTATACTCATTCACGTTTTGACACTTTTAATAAGTGATATCTTTATAAGGCATATCATGGCTCACACCATACATACATGAGATGCATTTTTTGTACACTGACAGTTACCGTGTCAAGCATACTAAACAACAAATATATCAATGCTTATATAAAGAGAAAATTTTCTTGGCCTAGGTATGTAATCTTACATTCTTATACCTCATGTCTGGTCAAAATTTCTCTAACTTTGACGGTAAAGTATTTCTTGTAAGAATACCCACCATTAAAGCAAACATGAGAATATCAAACATATTCTACTATTATAACAATTGTATGTACTGGAGTGGTAATAAACATTTGTAGTAACTTCTTGTTAATGATATTATATTTTAAAAAAAATTGAAAGATATTTATTTTTGAAAGAGAGAAAAAAAATAAAAAATTCCTAACAATGACATTTTTTATTTGATTAAAATAATAAAACAAATAAGAAAAAGATAAATTTTAAAAATAAAATATTTTTTCTCCTGACTTTTTTCAATTCATTTTTTCCTTCTTATTTTTATTCCATGAACCAAATAAACAATTAATGCTTTTATAAACTTTTGTGTTATTGTTATTGTCACTTTAACGCATAAAAATAAAATTAAATGAATAATTGTATTATATAACTTTTGTAAAGAAAATATACAACAAGAAATGTAATAAAATAATTGATGTAATAAAAAAAATAAAAATAGAAATAATATTATAAAAATTTTATACGAGTAATTCAATCCAAATGATATTTCATAGTTAGAGAAAATAAGAAAGGAGGGGTCTATGGGGGGTTTGGTAAGGCCGAATCATTGACAAAATATTTGGGATTGGGATAAGGGTGAAGAATGGTGGGTCCTTAAAGTTGGTGAGTAGTACCAAAGTGTTAGGAGCTGCATTTGTAGGCCTGTCATCACCATACTCATATTTATAAATGTTAATCACCCATCTTGTCATGCCAATGTCCAAGTTAATCTTAATATTTATAGTTGGAGAATGATTTTGAGCTATATTTTATGTTATCTTTATTTAATTTGATGTCTCTTAATTATAATTTTAATTTATGCTTAATTATAATTGAATTTTAGTTATTTAAATTAAATCTTTTGCTTCAAACTTTATTCAACAAATAATAAAAATATAATAAAATGTAATATATTATTAATTAATACAAATCTATAGAAAAATATATAAAATAATTAAATGAAAAATTGTAATACATTGTATAATTTTTTTTTTGTTTACTAACTTATCAATAATGTGAATAATTAAAATTAACGAAACTAAATTTGAGCATATGTTAACATATTAAAATCAAAAGGGAAATTAAACATTTAATTTTAAATATTTTTTTTAGCAATTATGCATTAAGCAATGAGACTTCTCAAAATTGAATGGATAATATTTTATACATTATGAATAATATTCTTTTTAAAATATATATAATTGCAAAATATATTTTAATTTTAATTTTATATTTTTATTAATTTTAATTTTATATTATTATTAATTTTAGCAATTATGCATTAAGCAATGAGACTTCTTAAAATTGAATGGATAATATTTTATACATTATGAATAATATTCTTTTTAAAATATATATAATTGCAAAATATATTTTAATTTTAATTTTATATTTTTATTAATTATACTATTTTTATGTAAGATTGATATATTTCTATCTATAAATTTGTTCGATCCAACCTTGTTTCAATATTATCAAGTATTCATTAGATTGAGATTGAGCTAAAAAATAACTTTATAAAAAATTTAAATTGAATAAAAATATCGATAAATTTCGACCTAACCCATCATATGTATACTCTACTTGTATCCTCACTTTTTTTTTTCCACTTGGTAATTTTTTTTTAGTTTAGTTGTAAAGTTTGAATTTAATATTTAAAATGATGTATATAAAACACAGGACTGAAATTTTTATACTCTGTAGTATCTTTTTCTACGCAGTTAAATTTGTTTATTTGAGTATTACTATCTTAAGAAAAAAAAAATTATGTGAATTATTTTGAAAAAATATCCCATATATAACTCTTATCATTTAGAGCATTTTTTTTAAAGGACTTAAAAAGCCTATACGTGGGTCACAGCCAAAATGGGATTTCATTACTTAAATGCTGTTCAACGTGTTTTGATTTTTGTGAAAGTAAAACTGCAATCATACATCAAAATACACAAAATTGATTATAGTTTTTAAGATGGGCACTCAAACAGACTCTAATTTATTGTTTTTTTTTTAAAGAAAAGCTCTGATTTAACAATTTAAGATAACATTTTCATAAAATAATTAAAAAATAATTTTCTCATAATTTTTATATCAATTTATTTTCTGAAATTTTTGCACCAATTTCTGAATGGCACCAACAGTTTCTTCAATTGGGATTATGTTATTGAATTCGTAGAGTTTGGTGTGCATTACACAACTCTTATCCAAAGCTAAAGGAGAAATATTCGATGTTTTAAGCACTAAATTGGTATTGACAAAAAAAGAAAAAAAACTAAATTGGTCATTAAATTAATAAAGATATTAACTCATGATTTAATGATTCAACTTTGTTATTCAATAGCTATAATTAAATGTATTTTTAATATTACATATTATATTAAATAATAAATTAATATAAAATATTAAAAATTAAGATAAAATAAAATAAAATAAATACGATTTTAGTTCCTATAAAATTTTTAATTTTTCTTTTAGTCCTTACAATTTTTTTTCATCTAAAATTAATCCTTCATTAATTTCATTTCATGAAATTTGGTCATAGTCCTTGATTTTCTATAGCTAAGTGATGATCATACCAACAGTTGATTCACTTGTTGTGCTTATGTTTCATTGTAATTTTACATGACAATTATTATTCATTTATTAATTATAATTTTAACAGTTGTTGTAAAATGAATAATAATAGTCACATGGGATTAGGATAACACATAAGCACTGAATTCAAACCTGGTATTAGCCTAGTCAATTAACGAGACTAATTTTAGGCAAAAAATATTACTAGGACTAAAAGTAAAATTTAAAAATTTATAGAAACTAAAACATATTTAACCTAATCTTAAATTAGTATAACATAATTATATTATGTTTTGTATGATAAAAATTCAATAATAAAAGTATAAATAAAAAATAAAAAAAGAACTGAGAAAATAAAATCTAACCACTAAAAACTAATTCTTCATTGATTTTGGACTGGTTTGACAAGTTCTCTCTAGTTTTAAGGTGAACTGGTTTTTTTAGTTGAACAATTTTCAAAACAACTGAAATATAACAATGTCACAATGAGAACAACTTGTGATATGCAACTGACATTTATCTTGCAAAGAAAATATCAGTAATTGTATCCTATATTCATGATAACTACTGTTCTATGCAGTTGGACATGGAAACAAGAGTAGTTCTAAACTTCAAATTCATATAATCATTTGTCACCGCTTAAAAAAAAGTTATGACTGTTGTCAAATTCCCAACATTATCAATTTCATATTTCCAAGGCAAAGAGTGAAAATTATTAATCCACTGAATTTGAAGCTCACGAGAAATAAAATATAGTCAAGACACATGAATCTTAGCTTCCATAGTTTAACATGGTCAACATCATGAAGGGTACTAAAAGATGTTGGCAAGATTATCAGTGCTTGGAATCTTCTTCTTCACAGAACTTGGTGTACTTTTCTGAATCCATCAAGTTGTTTAGTTCACCACTGTCACTCATTTCAACTTTAATTATCCATCCATTTTCATAAGGGCTTGAGTTGACCTATATATGGAGAAAGGTAGAAATGCATGAAAACACTTGGGTTGATTAAGAAAAAAAGAAAAAATTACAATTTTTTAGTATTACATAACCCTAGTGATCCAAATTTAGATTAGAGTCTACAAAGAAAGTACAGGAAGGAGAAAAAAATAGTTAAAATGCTCATAAACTGGACAGACAGATTTTGTCTTTCATGTAAAAACCTCATTAAGAATTAGGAAACGAAACTCACCAATGCAGGAGCACTGTTAAGCTCTTCATTAACTTCAACTACTTTTCCTGAAACAGGAGAGTTAACATCACTAGTTGCCTTCACACTTTCAACTGCACCAAAGCCTTCTCCTTGTGCTACGGTTGCTCCCACCTCGGGCAATTCAACGTACACAACATCACCCAAGTGATCTTGGGCGTGGTCAGTTATGCCAACAGTTGCAGAATTTCCATCAACTTTCACCCACTCATGAGAATCAGCATACTTCAGCTCTTTCAAAACTGTATGTAAAAAGGGCAAAGGGAAGGCAAATTTGTCACAAAACCCAATAACTGGCTTCCTTCCTAAATCACTCAAAATATAAATCAAATCATTTGCCAGTTTTTTCTCCTGCTTCATTGTTATCACAATAGGGACTCTCGTGGTTAAATAGTAAATTATAGTAGAAGACACTGACAAGTACTTGCACTACACAGAGAGAGAGAGAGAGAGAGAACACCGAGCAACAAAATGATAGTAGAATAAATCAACCATTCAATAAGAGGAATGACTTCCCTCTTCCTTCTAATTCTTAATAAACTAGAATTTCAACACAGTGATACGGGCCTGGACATTCTACCCATGTTTTCTACTCCCCAAACTGAATTTGGACAAAGAGGAAAGCTAGCAAGACACTCTATTGGCTAAAATTTATTGAAAACTACAAAAGTATGAGAGAGAAACATTAATCTAGGAATAAAAAATAGTGAGACTCACATAATGTTTGTAATTTTCAATAAATTCTAACCAATAATTAGGAGTGTGTTAAAAAGAGTATGTTGCTAGCATTCTTCTTTGAACAAAAGATGCCAAACATGTTAGTTTGGTGGCAAAATTCTGTTAAAAAACCAAAATGAATTTTTAGGACTAGTAGTAATTCTCCAACAAAATTCTATACAGGCAGCAAAACTGAGAGAAGCTTCATTACTGAAAATGTAAGACAGGTACGAACCATGATTCACACGTTGAGAAGCTTCATGATTGAGAGATTTCTAGATGCCCTTAATTGCTAAAATGAAAAACTGTCGAAGAACAAGAAATGAACAAAACCTGAGGTCCCTATTGGGAAAGGAAACAGCTCTGCAAATATTGGATCAGAGCATGGTTGACGTGTAAATAAGTTAATAACATTGCAATCTTTTATCACTTTATCCCCTGATAAAGTAGCTGCTACCACTAGAACCTATTAACAACCTTATCATTGTGCCAAAACTCACCCTCTATAGAGCACATCATGATGATTGACATACTAATAACACAGATAACAATCTTTTTACAGCTTCTAGGATATTATAACTTGCAGAAGCAAATGTTAAGAAATAGTTAGTATACGCAAATTTTAAATACAATAAGAACGCCATATGGATTTTCTTTCTCTTCTTTTTTCTGCAAAGGGAACATGAAGTTCAATAAAGACAAGAATAAAAAAATCCCAGTATCCATACAACAACACAACCTAACTATTCCATCCTTCTGCACTACCTTTATAAATTCCAAGAGGCTTCATAAAGTGCCTCTTTAGGAGTTAAACTCCCATTTGTCCATATGTCGAGAAAGAGTATCTCTTGTTTTTTTTTCCATTCCCATAGGAATGAATACTATGATTTACATTTCGAACAGGCATGAATACAGCATCTATGGGAAAACTTCCGTCTTTAAAGTTTTTTAGTGTTTTTATACGATATCCGCGATTCCTCTCAATTTTTAATCCAATACACAAATTAATAGGTTCTGTTAGGTTGGCTATATGTTGTGTATTATCAATGATTTCCACAGAAGGTGGTAAAATGATGTCTTGAGCAGTTATATATCCAGGACCTTTGAAACAAATAGATGCGTCTTGAGTTCCATACAGATTACTTTTCAATATAATTTCTTTCAAATTCAATAAAATTTCATGTACTGATTCTTGAATACCTACTATGGTAGAATATTCATGTGGTATTTTCTCCAATTTTGCACGTGTAATACATGTTCCCTCTATTTCTCCTAGCAAAACTCTTCGCACTGCAATGCCTATTGTATCGGCTTGGCCTTTCATAAGTGGAGACAGAATAAAGCGTCCATAATAAAGACATTTCTACAAACTGTACTCCTCACTCAAAAATGAACAAATTAAAAATATATTTCTTCTTTTAATTAGAGTCATTACCATCACAGATGCTATTACTGGTCACACCGCCAAGAAAGCTCCCTTTCTGATAGGACTAGGGAGTTTAGAAAGTTATAGAGGTAGTTATGCAATTAGTTGGGTAGTTATAGTAGAAGAGGAGGAAGGTCATACAGATTTGTTAGCATTTATAAACTGAGCATTTGCTCTATTGTGAAAGGGGAAACCTATGGAGGAGAATTCTCTCCTCTTCTTGGTCGTCATTCAATAACAGAAGTATTCCATTCTCATACCTAACACCTTCCTTCCCATTAAAATGACCATGACCAAGATGGATTATGTTTGGATATCTAACGACAGGTGGAATACAATACAATGGAGTGAATTTCTGGTACCATTGTTTAAATACTTTATCATGGAATGGAACGATAACAAAATTAGTACACTAAGTTCATTATATCTCATACCCACAAGTCTAAAAACGAAAATAGATAATTGGATGTTGTAAAGGGATGGAATAGATTCTACCATATTTCACTCCATTCCATCCTAATTTAAAAATCTAAACAAAGGCTATTAATGTTATTTCATTTCATTTCATTTTGATTCATTCATTCTCTTTTCATCAATTCAAAGATAGCCTGCTAGATCACCTGTCACAGCTGAACCCACACAATGTGTGAGCACCATGCAGTACATTATACATCAGAAAACACAAGAAACGTGAATTTTCCCATCCAAAAGAGTAGAAATGATCCAAAATTTAAAATGAAACATAAAAGGGCATGGATCAAGATCCGCATATTTCATCCACACCATGCACATGCCACGACAACAACACAATCGTAAATGATCATTGAAACTAAACAAACGAAAAGCAGATCACGGAGAGAAGAAGAAGAAGATTACCATTAGAGAAGCTTCTGTGAAAGACAGAGATCCTTAGATAGGATGCAGCTCTTGAAGCCCATAACTGCCTACAAGCCATTTTTCTCTCGCTTTCTCTTTCTCTTTCTAATTCTACACTTGCACTCTGCTTCTTGCATAAAGACCTTTATATTTGCCAACATGGTAGGGTTGGTGAAAGTTTTGTTTTTTAACCATTATTATATTATGCTATATTAATAGAAAATAACATGATTAATAGAGAGGGTGTTTTTGTATTTTTATTATTCAAACCAATAAAAACACAATGGTGAAGCATGCATGAATGTACTCTCAGGAAGCGTGGGTCCCCGGTCCCAGCTGAGTCAGTAAAGTACTGTGCTGGCTGCTTTTTGGGATTATCACGTGACCCTGTTAGAAAACAATCTAGGACACGCACGTGACTTTAAACCCAGGTTTCAGGAAACAACCTAGTGGGGATCAAAGTTACCGAGTTGTTATGATAGTGTTGACTCGGGTAAATCGTAAATGGTTATTTTCTGCTTATATCGCATCACCAGTTATTTGCTACTTCCTATTGATTCCTGATTTGAGAAAAACACGATAACAAGAATGGATGGCAGCATTAGGGGAAGAGTGCAGGTTCGTGAAACCAATGATGTTTTGGCATAATTTGATTATCCCCCCAAAGTTTTGTTTTTCATGTTTTTGTTTTGTAATCTGTCTCTCCTTGGCTGTTATTGTATTTTGATGGTTATTTGTTGTTGGGTTGTAAGGTGAGAGATAGGGCATTGGAGCATGGGGATGCAGAAGCGGTAATAATTGGGGGTATGGTGTTGGACATTCATGCTACGCCTTCATTGCAGCCAAATCCTGGAACCACTATCCCTGGCAAGGTTGGTAATCTATTTGTTCTCTTGACAAAGAAATGCATTTTTTGGGAAAGTAATCGCTTTTTCGAGAACTCTTGGTTATTTCTTTAAAATAAGTTGAAACATATATGCACCTATATTTTTAATTTCATTTTTGTATGCTTTTCTGGGAGTGTAGCTTATATCTTCTTGGTTGCTATGATATATCTGTTACTACGAAGTTGAAAGGAAAATGTTTGATAGACACCGAGAGGGAAATAGATAGAGAAGAGAGAGAAGTGATATATGTGAGGTGACAGGAAGAAATAGATAAAGAGATGAGGGGTATCAAATGGGTGATAATAACACTGTTAGGTGTCTGTAAATTAGAATTGAAGTTGAAGTATCTTCAATTAAAGTGCTCAAGAGCAGTATTTGTAACCTATGATTAAGTTTTTTCAGTACCCAATATCAAGTCTCAAGGTGATTACATGAAATGAAGATGGTGGAGAACTACTTCTCAGTCAATGCTAAAGGAGAGGATGATGCCAGCACAATTTTTTTTTCTTTTTTTTGTCCTATGGGTCTGAAACTTCCAATATTTGGAAGTCTCTTTGGGCTCTTACTAATCCAAGTTCCTTGCCACTTAGACCAATAGCAATAGTGGTTTGATAGGAACTCAAGAAACAACAAAGAAAGAATTTCTTGATTGAAGAAGAATTTTTGTACACTCTCAATTGTGTCTCGGAGTTTGGCTCCTTAGAGAAGAATTCTCTGCCAAAAATGAACAATCAACAATGATATTTCCCCCTCTCCCTCCTTCTAACCACTATTTATATCACATGTTACAATCATCCTCTAACAAACTAACAACTGGTCCTATAGACTCTTATTCTTCCTCTTTCTATATTGAACAACCCAATCACTTGGCTTGGTAATTGAGACACTTGGACCTGCAACTAAAGGATCCTGGACACCCTGGACCCTATCAGGGTTGGTTAGCTCAATCTTGTTAATGATGTGAAGAGCATAAGCAGTTATTGGCTTGAAGGATAATTCTTAATTATTCTTTTCTCTTTCTCATGTTTGTACCTATCTTCTTAAACTGGAGCATTGCAGGTCTATTATGTCCAAGGAGGAGTGGCAAGGAATGTAGCAGAGTGCATGTCAAAGCTAGGGGTAAAGCCATACATGATTAGTGCTCTTGGGTTTGACATGGCAGGTAAATTCTTACTATTACAAAACATTCTCTCTTGCTGATATAATTTTTTACTCTTAGCATTTATTATGGTCAAGATGCACCCTTCATGGCAACTTCAACTGATCTATAGTAAAATTTTTCATTTATATTGGGGACATTTTTTTAATTCAGCTATCCAAATTTGGATATATGTTTTAGTCCTACTTAGAGACTAAAGCACAAAAGTAGTATTGTTTTTCTTTAAATATAAATTATATTAAAAAGATATTTTGAAGAAACTATGCAATTCTAGAAATGAGAGGAAAGCATGAAGAATTGGAAGTGGTTCTTGGACAGAAATCTGAAAAAACTAAAAAATCCAATCCTAGAAATAAGTGATGGCCTTCTATATGAATACATACAATTTCCTTTTACCCATAATACTTCATTAATCTGATACTCCCACTAATCAACTCCAGTGATGTTTGAGGTTTGACTGGATCCGTTGGTGGCTTAATTAATGATGTCTGATTCTGTTAACTGACCTGTTAGACTACCCTACATTAGTTAGATCCCTGATTTCAATATTAGACTTTATACACTTAATTAACTTGTTAAATACATAGAAAATGACACCCTTGAATGACTGAAAAGATCTAATAATAGTCTAAATAGTAAGAAAGTAGTTTTCATTCTGTATCATGTACTCGTGAGCACAGAAGGTAAAGTGATAATTGAAAAACCATCATATACTTCATTGTATCTTCACTAATTTCTATCATCAACACATTATAAAATATCCCAAATTTGTACTGTTCTAAATAATATATCCTTCTAAGGATGTGACTGATACATGTGTCTTGCCAATCAGTTAAGAATTTTCTATGGTTGATTTTAGTTAGTAATATGAGTGTATCAGAGGACTTGGCAAATAAATCTAGGGAAGAACCTTACAAACTTCTGCCTCTTTTTTTCAAAATTTTTTTCTAGGAAACCTGCTGTTGGAACAGTGGAAATCTGCTGGCCTATCTACAGAAGGTAAGATATTTAATCTTCAAGGATATTCATCATATAGATCTGTTATGACAAAATAAAAGAATGATTTCTTGTACATGATTGAATTTGAGTTAGGTATTTTGAAGGATAAAGATATTGAGACTCCAGTTGTATGCAATATATTTGATACTAATGGTGAGGTAGCAGCTGGTGTTGCTAGTGTGGAAGCTCTTGTAAGTTGATCATTAAAGCAAGTATTAAGCTGTCAAGAAATCTCCAAAATAAAGCAAGTTAAAAGATTTATTTTTGAAACCTTACTTTTTTATATAGTGACAGTTGTTTTAAAAGACAGAAGCAAGTAGAAAGAAAATATAATACAATCATATTGTTGCAGGAAAAATATCTTACACCTGACTGGATCCTGCACTTCAAAAGCACTTTACTTTCTGCTCCAGTGTTGATGGTTGATGCAAATCTGAGTCATCCTTCTCTGGAAACTGCTTGTAGAAGTACATTTCATGATAATATTTTAATTCTATTTTCCCCTCTCTGCTGGATTATAAACTCACTGCAAACAGTTCCTTCCCTTTGCTTATCTTCATTCTGCAGTGGCAGCTGACACAGAGTGTCCTGTGTGGTTTGAGCCAGTATCAGTTACTAAATCCCGAAGAATCAATTCTATTGTCAAGTATGTGAGTGCTATGCTTTACACAAATATGATAATCTGTTAGGGATTGAATTCCGGATGGGATAAAAGTGTATAAAAGAAGAAAATTCAGGAGCAACTTGGAAAACAATAAGTTGGGAGAGGGGTGTGAACCAGGTGGGCCCAATCCTAACTAACTGTGAAGACGTGTGTGTGCGTGTCATGCTGAAGGGTGGGGCGAGAGAATGATTAGCAAACATTCTGTTATGAGAAAAGGGTATAATTGTTGGCCAGAGGGAAAGAGGAGGAGAGGTTTTTCTGAATTAGGACTTGGAGCATAGGAGCTGCTTAGTGCTCCATTTTTACCATTCTTGTTATTGTATTTATCTCTTTCTGATTTCCTTAATACCAGACATTTTTTCTTGCTGTTTCTTGGGTTGTTTCTATCATATTCTTTCTTAGGCCTATTTCATGGTTTGGTCAAAGGTGTTTGTGAGAAATTGGGAATGACAAAAGTCTGAAAAGTTGTAAACAGTTGTGCTGTCACCGTGTCAGCAATTTTCCTTGAATTTTTTATATTCATTATCTTCTTAAAATTTTTTGTGCCAGCATCACTAAAAAATTCCTTGATGTATTACATTGTGCAATGTGCATATCATACTCATTTAGAATTTATCAACACCATAGGATACCATTTGTGCTTTTTGTATCAAAATTGTTATATGTGACATGTATGCATACTTTGTTTAGGTAACTTTTGCTTCTCCAAATGAAGATGAACTTATTGCAATGGCAAATGCTTTATCTAACTCTAACAGTGATGAGTTTCATCCACTTAAAGAAAGTCAAAAGAAAAACAGCCTTTCAGCAGTATCTTTGTTTCAAATGCTGAAACCAGCAGTATGGGTTTTACTGGAGAAAGGCATTAAAGTGGTCCTAGTGACCTTGGGCTCAACTGGAGTTTTTTTATGCAGTAAAGGAGGGCCAAGTTGTTTTAAAATTCCTGCAGAGAAAACAAATCGGTGTGGCTTTGGTGGACAATTATACAAGACTGTTATGCAAAAATGTCCTCCTAATTGTTATTCTGGTTTTTCTGAATTTGATAGAAGCTCTCATCTCTTTGCTGTGCATTTTCCATCACTTCCTGCATCAGTGGTGAGACTTACTGGCGCTGGTGATTGCTTAGTTGGTGGAACACTGACGTCAATTTGTTCAGGATTAGATATTATGCAAAGTGTGTCTGTTGGCATTGCAGTTGCTAAAGCTGCTGTTGAGGTTGAGGCTAATGTTCCTTCTGCTTTCGATTTATCTGCTATCACAGGTAAGGTTTTAGCTATGTATATAGTTATATAGCCATGGTCATATGCATGTCTAGTTGCTTCATTTGTTGCATTTCTCAAAGTTACTGATAGACCCCAGTAAGACATGTTTAACATTTGGAGAAATAAAAGCTGAACAACAACAACAAAAACCAAGTCTTATCTTACTAGGTGATATAATCATATTATGTTGCCTGGACTCGAACCGTTTCAGGTGAGAGCCGAATATCCTAACCATCTAGACTACAACGGAATTGTTAGGAGAAATAAAAGCTGTAACGGGATAATTTGCTAAGTTAGTAACAGATTGGCAGTTAGGTGGGAAAGTTAAGCCTATAAATAAAATGTAACAAGGGAGAATAAGGCAGGAAAAAGTTCAAGAAGTCTGAAATTGGAGTGTAATGGGTCTCTCCACCCAGAATTGGGAAACCACATTGTATATTGATTGTTGAGTGCTTCAATAACCATGATGATGCCATGTTTCCCATAATATGTGATTTTATGACCCTGTGTGATTTTATTTTTATGTTTCCCATTTTTCTTGCGCAGATGATGCTAAATCTGTATACTCTGGTGCCAAGCTGCTCTTCCACCAATCAATGCTGTAAATTTTGTACGAGGATCATCATAGATAAACAGCTTAAGTTGTGCTCTAACAACCACCTTTGCCCAGAGGAAAAAAAATTGCTACATCATCCCAATGTTTTATGTAATTGAATTATGAATCAATAACTGTTTTTGGAATTTTTATGAAGTTGACATTTATCTGTAAGAGTACAATTGATATATACCTTATTTCGTCAACCCCTGGTACTTACACTAACATCTATTGACATGTTGTACTTGATCGTGTCATTTCTGTCCTTGTAATGAATTTCTTCCCGGAAAATTTATATTTTTACACATTTAAAATGAAAGAATTTGCAGAAATACTAATTTTTTTCCTCCTTTATTTCTTTCCCACAATTTTGCTGCATTTATAGGCTTTTTTATTTTTTAAAAAATTATTTATTAAATTATTAATTTTGTAAAACAATTTTCCAGCTAGGTGCAATACTATTTTTTTTTTAAATAAAAAAGCAGTTTCGCATATTGCAAAAGCGGAGACTTGTCAGATTACGAAATGTGTTAAGATTTCACGCTGTCTTTCCTCTGCAGTGAGTATCGTCTTATTTAATTTTTTTTTTTCTATATACACAACTGATCAAACGCACTTCTGCAAACATTAATTACAGCAAGCAATTTAAGAGAAACTTCAATTAGGTTAATAAAATTTATATTTATCATAAAATTAATTATAATATTTAAATAATAATAATAATAGTAACACTAATAATAATTATAATAATTTTTAATTTTTAATTTTTAAATTAATACTAATAATCTATAATTAATAATTATTATTGTTAATTTTTTAAGTTAAAATTATTTAATCTTTATTAATTCAGATTTTATAATTTTATTTATTACTAAAAAATTACTACAATAACATTTATTTCACAAAATTTGTATATCTAAAAACAAAAATTATATTAGAAATTATACAAAAATTTAAAATTATTATCTAAAATTTACTAATCAGTTATTAAATAAAATGATTATTTTTACCAGCAAAATCAGACTTCAACCACATAAAAAAATTACAATTAAGCTCAATCAAATTAAATTATAAATATATCAAAATATAAACTAATAATCAAAATATGAAGTGATAATATTAATATAATGAGGACACCAAAATAAAAATATTAATACATTGACGAAGTAAGAACTAAAACGAAAAAGAAGAAAGAAGAAAAAGTAAAAAGGAACAACAAAGAAAAAAAAAAAAAGGCAAGAGTGGTGATGTTACATTTTGCCATATATCAACATTAGAGTATAACTAGCTCAAACATTAACATGTGACAAATTTGAAAGCAATGTTCAAATCTAAATTTGAATTATTTATTTTATTAAAAAAATCAACAAGTACAACTTGAGATCTTTAATACTAGTGATAATGTAACAAGAATCACCTCAAACAAGGTGATTATATTTTTAAAAAAAATATTTAAATAAATGATTTTTTAAGGAGTAAATTCACAAATTCGTTCCTTAGATAGTAGCAATCGTACAAATTGGTCATTTACTTATTTAAATTGTCTCATTAATTTTTCACATATCACTTCATCATGCATTTAAGTCTTTAGTGTTAACAGACACTTAAAAAACATTAAATTTTGTTGAGTTGTCATATTGAGTGACATGCATCATGTCATCTTGGATCTTAAACGATGTCGTTTTCAACCTAAATAGAAGACAAATTAACTTTTTCTCTAATCAATTTTTTTCTCCAAATTTTACCATTGTTGTGAATTTAATGTCAAGCTACATGCTTCTATCATGGTAAGCAACAATGATACAAATAGAAATTTTAGTTCCAATTCAAGGTCATTTGATGTTCACAACAAGGGTTCAAATGGTAGGATTTATTCACCTAGGTATTGTGAATGTGGGATAAGGGCATGTATAGAGTTTTGTGGACACATGCAAATCCTGGGAGACATTTATGGACATGTCCCAACTACATGGCAAGTTTGTCTTTTACTATATACAAATATAATGTTTTTTTTATGGGTAAAATTGATGAAAGTCTGAAACATGTATGCAGGACAGGAATGATTGATATTTTTTTTGCCTAGTTTGATAAAGGTGTGAATGGAGAAGAGACGAAAGTGGGTTGGAGACAACATCTAGCATTTCAAGTGTATCACGCGAGAAAGAAAAATGGAAGAGAACTCTTGCTATTAAGATGACATACATAGAAGATGGGATAAGAAAACTGAATTTGATCATACATTTGCAATGATTTCTTATGTTGACTTTTGTATTAATTATGTTAGTAATTTGTTTGAAAAATTAAGATAATATGTTTAGAGAATGAATGGTTATTTTGGGTAAGTTGATAACTTTGGTCTTCAAGTAGTAGTAAGGTGATCTTATTGTAACGTCTTTTGGAGTCGTATTATTATCATTAAATATGTTCTTGTGATGATTTGGGTAAGTTGATGACTCCTATTAGTACACATGTAATAGTTTATTTATGAAACATAATGATAGAGGCAAGCATCATCATTAATTTAAGAAATCAAAAAATAATGTATAAGTAATATGACATACACAGATACAAAATCTTTTTTAGTATTTCAAAAGAAAAAAAACTTAAAAAAACATGTGCAACACAACAAAGATTGTTGTTGATAGTAAGCATAGCCATCTTGTATAACACTTCTTTTTATTATACAATCACGTGCTAGTAACATCTATAATCAAATTTTGATGAAGTTAAGACAATTCTCGTACAAAATTAAGTTAATTCTTCTAAATGTTCATTTTGATTATAGAAATTATGGTTTTGATGAAAGAGAAAAACATAAGAAAGTTGTATGAGTTATTTTTAGGTCCAAAGAATCTTTTCTATGTTTGGTTATTTTTTTTTTTTATATGGTGGAGTTGTTTTATTGCATTGATTTTGGAAGGGTGACAAATTTGTTTTTTTCAACCACTTTGAATTAAATGTAGCAGTGATGCAATCAATATAATAGCAAAATATGAAAATTAGAATTAAAGAAAAAAGAAGAAAATAAAATTAATATTTAGAACAAAATCTAAGAATTCATGCTGAAGTGTAGTGAATCTCTTAAGCCAAAACAAGAATTTATCCTTCCATCTACATGGAAAAAATGAGAGAGAAAATGTACAAAAAATTTAGAGAAAATTCATTTTTTTCATTTACTAAGAATGTAAATCTACAAACTTTTTAAATATAAATCTAAACATACTATTATTTATGCGATATTACATTGGAACAATAATTTTTCAATTTTAGAAGGACAAAATATTGATGAGAATAATGAAAATTTTCTTTTGACTCATTTATATGTTATTGCTCCACTCAAATTTTTGTTTTTTGTTTTTCATTCATCTTGCATGGTCTCAAGGCTCATGGCAACAAAGGTATGATTGATATTTGAAATTTTTAGTGTATTTGTAATAATTTTTCATTAATATTCTTAAAATAATGGTTGGTATGAATCTAAAATTAATAATAAAATTTTTGCTTTTAGGGAGTGTTTTTGGCAAAAAAAAATTGGTTGTTCAACTACGTTTAAGTTGTCTAGATATGTCAAAAAGAGTTATGTGTTCGACTGTATTAGTTAATATGGATTGATTGATGATTGAACATAAAATGATCCATTTTAAAGATAGAAGGTGATTGCACCAAAGGAGGGAATATGTCCTCCAACTATGAGTTCTCAAAATACTCAAAATAAATTTTGTCTAAGTGTAATTGAAAGTAAAAATTGTAATCAGTTAAATAATATAAAGGTTTAGGCCATAAATAAATGTAAAGAATGTTGTAAATGAATGTAAAAGGTTGAAATTGTAAAGGAAATGTTGTAAATGAAAGTAGAATGCAAGAAAGTAAATCAAAAGTAAAGGTAAAGATAAGTTGTAAAGTGCTTAATTGATTAATTGTTCGGATACAAATGTAGTTTATATAGTATGTACAAAGCATTTATTTGGCTTAAAAAATTGCTACACATGTTTCTAATCCACTACCCTGTACGCATAGAGTGTGAGTTGCTAAGTCTGTTGCCTTTAACATTGAGTAGTCATCATTTGCTAACTTTCCATATAAAAGACTGAAATTGCTTTGAGTATGTTAGCTGAGTGTGTGATGCTCATGTCTAGTGTGTTATCTTGAATGTTATCCTAGCAAAACATAGCTAAAAACTCACTTCTTGGCTAATTGTTGAGTGATCTGCAATCCAACGACTGATATTCCAAGCTAAATTCATGTTCACTCCTCATGTTTCTTGTAACACCTTCATTTTGTTATTTATTATTATTACAATTTATGTTAGTTGTTTGTGCATGTTATTTGAAATTATGAGTGTTTAATTGACGTGAATTACAGGTAATCTTATTGTAGCGAGACAAGTCATTAAGAATCAGGCTCTCTAAAGTCCTCTCGCTATAGCTATAATTTCTCGCTGCAGCGAGAATTTCTCGTTTAGCTAGAATGACAAACAACAAAGGAAGAAACTTTTTGATTTTTTCGTTGTAGCGAGAAAATCGCGAGTTTGAGAGATAGTTAAAGAACTTTCATCCTAAAAACTTCATTTTTAACCAAATCATTTTTCTCTCTCCATCTTCTTCGTTCTCTCCATCTCCCTTCCTAGAGAAAACCTCCAAAAACTCTGGATCTCATTAGGATATGAGCTCAAACGTCGAATTTAAGTAAATTTTTAGAGCCCATCTCTTGAATCTCGTTCCTATTTCTCCTTTTTATAACAGAAATATATCTTGTGATGTTAGGAAGAACTCTAGTCCTTGAGTAACATTTTTGGTCGAGACGTGGAGTTTTTCTTAAGAGCACATGAAGAACTTAGTTATTGAGATCCATTTTCAGGTAAAGAGAGTATTTCTGAGCCCTAGTTTTATTTCTATATGTAGTGACTCCATGAGAACTGAAGTAACCTATTTTATTAATAATCTATAAAAATTTTATGAAATTATATGATAAAAAGTGGAGTTTTGGCATAAAGAAGGATTTTGGGTTTAATAGAAATCATTTAGAGCTAAATTCTTAGTAAAAGTCATGAGTTAGAGCAAGATCAGAAACTTTTGTAAATAAGTTTATCGAGATAAATACATGTGGAGTGATAAAAGTTAGAGAACGCTGAATTTTAAGTTATAAGACTTTGTTAAGACCGAGAGAATGTAATCTTTGGCAAGTTACATAAAAATTTTGATATTGGACTGAGTCTAAGGGTATCTGACCTTTAGCATATTGTGTGGAATTGCATGAAATTATATTATTGTATTGTGAATA